AGAGTTAAAAATTCGTGTAAAAATATAGGTTTTTGTTCTTGAACAAGCTATCGTTGGAGTTTTTTAGTGTGGTGGGCGAAAAATAATAACTGAAAGAATAGTACCCATGAATAGCCAACGTAAGTGCCATAAAAATTTTCACCGGAATGTTGGGGGGGGGGGGGGGGGGGGTATCAAGAATATTCCGGACCTAAATGCTCTACTAGTATATTTTTAATATACTTACCAGTTTTCTCCCCCCAATTTTTATTCTACATTTGACCGTCTTTTATAAATAATTATATTTTACAAAATTTGGAATCTTATCCGGGTTTTTTTTGCGTGGGGGGAGGGAGATTGGCCCCATTCCGCCGCCTATGGGTTCGTCAGATATGCAACGAGTAAATTCACAGTATGGTTGTGTAAGGTAGTTTTAATTATTTTGCTCCTATGTAAGTTTCAACAGACCACCATATGCTGTTTTGTAATTGTTAATTAGTATATTATGCTCGTTCAACCCCCTACATGCAGAGAACTTGGATCAGGCAGGAAACCCTATAGAGATAATTAAGATCCCAGCTCAGTCAAAAACCGCAGGGATGCAGAGATTTCAGACATCACTTGACCAATCATCCATCATTTATGCGGTATGATTTCAGCTTGATTGCGCGATATCAATTGCAATCCGCAGACTTGATACGACCATAATTTACTACAGGGTGTAATTATTGAGATATCTTGCATTAAATTCATTAAAATCCCATAGCCCACCTGCCAGACATTTTTTAGTCATCAGAATATTACTTGACGTTTCTTTCAACCAATCTGCATGAGATGCGATTGAGCGCGAAACGGAAGCGTGCCCTCGGGTGTTGAGCGCGCAGGAGGTAAATGGCAATGTGCGATCTGGTATGCTCCATTAACAGATTAAAAACAAAGTAAAGCTCAAAAGCGCATTGTTCGTCGATTTGATACCTTTGGCCTGGTTCTGCATCGAAGTTATAGAAAAATTTGCGCCGAGCTAATTTTGCCAGAGAAAGCCAGAAACGTGGATCAGGTTTCGTCTAGACGGCTCTTACCAGAGCGCAGTTATTTTCTCAACTAATTTGAGTGAAATCAGATCTGGTCACCTTTGCGAAAGCCGGCTAGAAACGTAGAACAAGCGTTTCTTAGCAAAACATATCAAGCGGGAGGATTTTGACTCTTGGGACTACAAGGGACCTTTCACGCGTGCAGCTTTCGAGAGGCTTGGTTTCACACGATTGTGTCAGCCTGTTTTATTCAGACCACCGTTCTGGTTTCATCTAAGGTATGATGTATAGAGTGCTATATTTATGATTATTGATCTGTATTCTGAATATTTTTAATTACCTAAAATGGACGCGAAATTTTCTGATGGTTGTAGTTCGTGTTTATTGAGGCGACTCACAGGTCAGGTCAATCTGCCCGGTGGAAGATTTTTCTGATCTAATGTTGTTTGTTCAAAGACGTTATTAGGTATTTTATAGGTGTAAGATACTGCAGATAATAAGTAGTTTGACAGGTTAGTACAAGAAATAAATTCTACAATGCTATGTTAATTTTGCGCGTTTTATTCTAAGCTCAATATTCTAGTGAAGTATCAAATTCGTGTAATTCTGCAATCGCCTTATTAAATGAACCATTCGTTTGTTTTGTGACAAACGACAAAAACCTTGTTGTTTAATAGAACTTGATATTGCTCAGTTGATATTCAGTTCGATGCTTATCTCATTTCAAACTCGGGGCACATTAAGTTTACGCGCATCTGAAAAAGTTTCATAAATTGCGCGAATATGCAAGTTTGCATAAAATGCGCATAGGTTTGACCTCGTGTCTGTGCGAAACTGCGGTGTTTATTAAAAAGATAACAGCAATACACCCAGGTCAGATGTGGTCAAGATACCTTGTCATACATACCTGCGCTAAGTATATTTACTATTCGCAAATAATAATAATCTTTAATTCATGTAATCAGTAATGAGTGAGTCGTGGTACAGGGTCATACATGCATGCCGGTTAGAAAGCGATAGTTCTCGCTGTTTACTCAACTAACGACGCTGAATACGGTGCGGGTATTACCGTATTACGATTAAACTTTCGCTATAATTAAGAACGTGGAATTATTATTTGGCGCATTAATTCGACGTTTCTTTAGTACCAAATTACAGTGCTCGTAGTCGTAGACGGTAAGTACCTTAGTATACTGTTAACGCGCAAGATATTGTTGCTTAATATTTTCAAAGAACAATTTAGTGTGAAACTTTTATTGTCAGAAATGTCTTAAATTTTTACTAGAATCTTACTACCACTAATATATTTTCTTTAGGAAAATGGACATCCCACTCTAATACTTAGGTCCGACATATTTAAGGGTAACCACCCTATTTGAGTTCCTAATTCATTGGTGTTTTGTCTCTTGCAGAAAATGTTATGTCGGGTTGACGGTACGCAAGCCTCCTCGGGGCTGTCCTGTATCTGATCACAACAGGTTAACAATCAGACGGCGATGACTTTGTCTGGTAAGGCGCGATATGTTGCTTGTTTGTTGTTATATTAATTCACAGCCACGTGCGCTGGGATGCAATCGTAAACCGCGTCAGTGGTGTACGATTACCGAATTTCATCACGAATTAATAAAAGTGTTTTTACAGCAGAAAATCAATTGTAAAGCCGGAAAAACCAATAAACGCAAGTAATGCTAATGTTTGCGCAAATGTTTGTAATCATTGCGCATAATATGAATTTTTGCGCAAACCATTGTTTTGCGCGGCCGACTAAATTTTATCACAAATAATAAAAACAATTTTCTCAAGTGTAATATTATTATTATAAAGCTAGCGTAAATTATTCTTATTATTTACGCAAGTTATGTTAATGTTTCCCAACTTTCCCCTGACAGGAAAGTTTGTAAATTGCTCATCCAAGATTTCGAAAATATTATAGTATAGTCAATATACATCCGTCTCGGTTGCGCGATACAGACTTTCGACAGTGTGATTGTTTGCGCAAAATATTTCAGCTTGCGTAAAAATATTATAATCTATGCGCATTTTTACATTTTGCAGAAAATTGTCTAATGTTTTCGTGCAAATTTCTATCCAGGCATGCTGTGCATACTGTTAGTATGAAAAGGGGTTCCTTGTTCAAACGGTTCAACATGTAATATTGTGGCATTCCTTCCGCATGTGACATTCCTTGCCAACAGCCAAGATCACTTCGTAACACAGAACAGATGGTGTCAATATCCAAATTATTATCCAAATATCCTATGCTATCATCATGTCAGCTTTCACAAAATTTGGAAAATTAAACCTCAGTCAAACCTCAAACGAGGATGAGACTGAGTCACTGAGAGTTGATAGTCACGCATTGTTACGTATTTCAAGCTCTAGATTAACAAAATAAAGGTTTGATGAAGCGTTCCATCTAAATAGAATACATGATAGTGTTGTGAAAGCACTTTTTTTATCCAGGCTTCACTCTGGTTACATTTAATCTGTTTCACTCCAATCAGAATTAAATTTAAAAAACACTGTACGTGCTTGCCAAACTCGCTGTATTTCACATAGAATGCATCTTGGGCACTCAGTCGTGAAAGGTCCTCAACTGTGGGAGAGGAAAAATTCAAATCTATTTTGTTTGGCACGCGAGATATTCTTGCAACGTACTATATCTTAATCATATAAACTTTCATCGTTGATATATCATGTAGAAATGGAAAAACAGCGGGATTTTGGCTAAAATATTTAAATTTTTACATTGCTACCATAAAATTAATTAAAAATCAAAACGTCTGTCAAATCACACAATGCCAAGGTCTTGTTAAAGCCTGTGCAAACATTTCTCGAATCAGATGACTGCTTAGAATAACTTTTAATTAAGCAACTTTTCTGTCAACATATTTAATGTACCATAATGCACGGAACACCGTGGGATTTCGCTTACACAGTTAAACGAAATGACTAGAGATTAAATAAGCGTACATGGAATCAAATTTTGCCATCGAGTTTGCTACATCAATATTGTACAACAATCGTCTCATATACTAGTGGGTTCGTGTGATCGCGACGTATTTACACGGAAATTAATCTGGAGTAGTTGGGTCACCCCTGGCGACGTACCCGGTACCCTAGGAGAAAATAAACACTTCCGCTTTATCTTGTGTCCCTTTCACTCTTTCTTATGGTGTTGGACTGTAGCTCAACTCATAAACACAATGTACAGAGGTGTTGATGGCATCCTGCAATATAAAATTGTCTGATAACTTGGTCTCAGTTGCTCTTTACTTGTCTACCAACCACCGAAGAATATCCCTTGTTATATCCGATTTCCTTGTGTGGTAACGTTGTACCAAAAATGTTGACTTTTACTAGAGCTTAGGACCCAACAATTAACCTTAAAGTGCCTATGACACGAAATTTCACTCCAAATATTTATGGTTACATTGTAAAGATCACTTAAAATGATTTATTATAATAATTTCGTTTATAGAATTCCGGTAACTTGCTTCCTTTTCAAGATATTCAACTTTGTTTCATATGCAAATATCACCGGTGTGACATCACATCACACAATGAGTTTTCAGAAAAGTATAGTTTTCTTAACGAATACCATTTTATCAAGGTAAAATATTGCGTTTTCAAAATGTCATTATGCGATGTGATGTCACACCGGTTATATTTGCATATGAAACAAAGTTGAATATCTTGCAAAGGAAGCAAGTTACCAAAATTCTATAAAAAGAAATTATTAAGTCATTTTAAGTGATCTTTACAATGTAATCATAAACACTTGGGGTGAAATTTCGTGTCATAGGCAAATGCACGTCAATTTTTGCCTGCTCAGCAATCCCCACCATTACATTTGAAGCCAATTTCCGGTTTTCCTTTTTTACGAAATTTGGGGCTACGAGCAGGCTTGTCAATTTTCACGCTCGCGTAATCGCGTGCGCAATGAAGTAGGAATGTACTCCTATACATATATTTATTATTCTGTTTTCTTTGCGTATTATTGTGTTATTGGGGTTTTTCATTTCGCATGTCGGGTTTTATGATTGCTAAGTAAATAATTGGATCGAGAATTGGATTTCAACTTGAAATAACAAATATCGACTTCCCGCAATGCACTCTCCTTCTTTGATTTGAGAATGCAGCGAGCTCGGCAGAGAGGATGTAAGATATTTCAAACAGCATGACTTTAGGCTGGGGGTTAAATGTACAAAGCGAAAACAGGCAGGGAAGAAAAATCTTGCGTAAATTAGAAAATGTACCCAAAGACACCTTTGCGGGCAGGACAATTGTACTTTTTGTACGATTGAAGATAGCGTAATCTAAGCTGGCATAATTGAAAGATAGGATCGATTGCTTTTTGTGTTTGTTTTGTGTGAGATACAATTTGACCACGCTTTCTATCCATATGTTCAGATTCTTATCAGTGCACATTAATGACAATCCGTAGGCATACCATGAATAGTCTGAATGAGACTGTTTCGTGTCTTTCGTCTCACAAGAGCTCCGAGAGTCGTTTTAATTTGTCTGTTGTTAATTTCTTATTGGTTCCGGTTTTGTACACAAATACAAACATACGTTAATTGCATTCATTGTACCTTGTACGTAGAAGTATTTTATTAGAAGAAACAAAGGCTTTGCAGCCCGCATGTTGAAATATGCCCGCTATTTACAATTGAGACAGATAGTTTACAAATTCTAAAATAAGTATAAAATAAGTTACAAAGGTACATCCTATATAAAGCTAAAATTATATACAACATATTTTTTTATTTATTTGTTGTAACTATTCGCGAAAAAATTACATTAACAAATCGGAAAATAAAATATATACAAGAAGTGGGCTAAGGGCCTTTTAGAAACTATAAGGCTTTTATTTAGGGACTGGTCATAAAGTAACTGCTAGGGTGGGCTGGAGGTAAATCACAAATTTTGCCAATAAGTTCGGTGACCCATCTTAGTATGTAGATAAAAATTTCAAAGCCCATGCATCTAATCTTACAAAACATTTTTCGTGACCCACCCAAACTAGATTGGGAAAATACACTTTTATAATAAAAAAAAACTTGCGGGTATGAACATTGTAAATATATACCAAGCTTGACCAACACATTCATCACAAATTATCAGCCCACCCTAGCAGTTACTTTATGACCGATCCCTTAAGACCCCTAGATTACAAATTGATTAATTACAATATGTGGTGCCAGTCCAAGTGTTTGTCAAATTAACGTAAGAAAAAAATGTAGTTGCATAGAAATATGGAATATATATATATATATATATACGGTATATATATATAATAGTAAGGTATACACTTAATTAGAAAATTGGTGAAATATCAAATGCCTTTGACAAGATCCAGGAAAATACCAACTGAGAATTTTCCTTCATCAATTGTTTTGGTAATTTTATCCACAAAATCCATAATTTTTATTGATGTTTTGATAATATTTTGTTTTTCAATATAAAAATTTTGTCAGGATATATATCAATATATATTAAGAATACAACCTGGATTAAAAGATAGCCGGTTGTTCTTTGCAAACCTTAAGCGGTAAACCTTAAACTTTATATGATTTCTAAACTGATTAAAAGATGCCCCCATTATGCTTTGCACGCTTAAAGTTTAAGGTTTAGGGTTTACAAAGGACAACCTTTTTTGAATTGGCTAGTATAATGCAAGCCTTGTCAATGTTAGTTATAGTTTGTTACGCATGTATGATGGTTTAAAATATTTTCAAAAACTCATTAATAATTCTCATTCATGAATTATCCAATCTTGAGTAAGAAATTAGTCACGTGCATACGTCTTTATACCCTAATAAAAGTATAAACCTAATAAAAGTATAAAACACTCCTGCTCGTCTTTTAAATAGTACTTCAAAAACTCATTAATAATTCATGAAGCAATTATCCAATCTTGAGTAAGAAATTAGTCACGTGCATACGTCTTTATACCCTAATAAAAGTATAAACCTAATAAAAGTATAAAACACTCCTGCTCGTCTTTTAAATAGTACTTCAAAAACTCATTAATAATTCATGAAGCAATTATCCAATCTTGAGTAAGAAATTAGTCACGTGCATACGTCTTTATACCAGCTAAAGAACACTTTAACAAAAGACCATTGTTATGCAAACTATATAAAGATTTTTATATAAAGATTTGACTTATTATGCAAACGTTTTTGAAGCCATTTAAAAAACTCGCAGGTCGTGTTTTATTAGGTCTAAAGCCACTCGCGCTGCGCACTCGTGGCTTTAAACCTAATAAAACACTCCTGCTCATTTTTTAAATAGTACTTCTAAAACGTTCAGTCCTACATTTAATTTTTGAGTTTATTGAAAGCCCGTAAACTATAACTAAGTGGGCAAGTTTTCAATTTGGATTAGGTTAGATAGAGGCAAAGACTGGAAAAGGACGTTAATTAAAAAAAAACTTTGTTAAAAAAATTTGAACATAAGTCTTGCAGCTAAGGTTAGAAGGTCAAACACTGCCAAAGCGTCGCTGTATGAAAACAACTAATTTTTATCACTGTAGTTTTGTGCATAAAGGTAAGTTTTAATTTACGTGCAGTGGGACAACAGTACTCTCAAAATGATATACTGGTTCCCAAAAATTTATACATTTTTGAAGTTAACCACGATCTGTCGATCTGTTAGTCTGTGCCAATTTAATAATGAACCCCCCAATATCTACGTTAACGGCCGCGAAAATTAATGACAGTAAAGTTTTTGCGAGTGTCGTTGCTAAAATCCACGTCACCTTTATTTTTAGACGCTTTATGAAAAATAAAGAATGACCATCTTGTAATGCACTAGGTTGCTTTGAACGATATTTTAAAAGTTATTTACTTACAACCCCGTTCCCAGACTTTTCCCTCTAAGCCTGGAAACGAGGTTGATTTACTTAGAGCTTTCTCGAATCAATTTCGACTTCATAAAGCTATAATGGCTAAATACCACCAGCTTAGCATATAAAACACTATTTTCTGACCTTTTATGGTGCTGAACTATTTATATACTGCGGCTAACATTAATCCACACTGATAGTCACAAAAATAACCCTTATTCTGTGCCCGTGTCATTCAGTTAATACTTGAGTCCTGTAAGATATCAGCGTCTGTATTTCTATATGGACAGTTTGCAGCTTTGCTGTAAATAGTCAGCATTATATCGGTTACTTAATTCAGTGTCAGAAAATGAGATTTTTGAAATAAGGTTTGCATTCCTGAGCCTCTATATAGCAGCAGGGTTCCTGATATTGATATCATTTCGATCCTCGATGCATTAATATCCAGACTGAAACGTTTTCTTTTGTGCACGAAATATTATTTCCTCAGGGAAAATGCGCATTAATGTCCAATATTTTCACAGAAAATTTAAGGCAGACCAAGGGATCCTGGAGTCAGAAAGTGTTTTTGTCAAATAGGAAGATCAGAAATCTATACTTGGTTCTTGGTTCACAAAGGCATTTTCGGTACAATTTTGAAAAATTTTGCGCAAATTTCCTTAATTGCAAGAATTGTGCGCAGGAAATTAATTCTCTAAAACAAAGTAATTTTGAGAGGAACGCCAAAAAAATTTAAGATTTTAAACACTTCATTGCAAATACGCGACATTGAAAAAAATATTTAATTTAAAACACTAAAAATAACTGACTAGAAATAACAACCATTTAAAAGTATCTATTATATAACACTTCAGTCTGACATAAAAAATTCCGGTTCTTTTATGCGAGTTTTAATACTGTATTGCAGGAATGCAAGACTGGATTTCTCGGCTACAGTCAGAGGTGAATGCGGTGAATGATACTTACACTGATAACCAAAAAGTATGCAAACCTATTTACGTATTTATGGCTACGCTGGTTTCTTCGTCCATACAAACAGTTTGCAATTTCGCTTTCTATACAGAAATCATGCATGGGTACCTTACTTTAGTCTATTTTTGCCCATGTTTGGTTTTCCTTCCTATTTTTGTCAACGTGGGCGGCAGCCGCCCAAAAATTCCAATCGTGTTGCCAGAAGCCACTTTCGTGCGAAAACAAGGTGGCCTATGAAATGTTTTGCATATAATGCGTCATTTGGTATAATCCTGTGTATATAAGGTTGTTAGTTAAGGTTGTTATATGTAAGATTGAACATTTTTGTGCTGGTTAATTCCATATTGTGTGGACCTGCTCGAAGTCGACCAAGTTTGGTTCGGCAAATACCTTATATTGCGGTCTCCTCTGGACCTGGTTTTTAATTGTAAGTACGAGAAATAGTTATACCAAATTTTTTGAGTAGTATAGTTTTAGTGCTTTTAAGTATATTTTTCTCAAACCGTAAATAATATCTCATGGTATAAAGGTTTCTTTTTTTGAGACAGGGAAACATCAGAAATCGGCGCCATATCGTTGTCTTCATATACCACAGTAATAAACGTCTTAACGTCCATAGACTCCATACAGTCATCTTTCGTACTATTGAGTTTCGTTTCAAGTATTTGCCTGTTTTCTTTTACAAATTATTTCCTGTACTCGAAGTAGTTTAATGTAGTGTTTTGAAAAAAGTGCCAGTAGCTGCATGGAAATTGAAGACCATATAAAGGCATATTGAAAGACCTTAATAAAGGGAAATTCGTCGCCAGCAAAAGTTGAGAATATGGACGATTTATTTGAGACTGTAACATCGACGTTTACAGCAGGACTAATTTGTAATTTCATATAGTATGACTACTGAATTTGTAATTTTTGTGTAGTTATCCTCCTTTGTGCTATTAGAAGCTATTTTAAATTCCCAAGAGCAGAAAATCTTGTGCTTAACGAGGATGTTTTAATTTGTAAAAGTCTCTTAATTTTTAATTTGTAAAAGTTTCTTCTTCTCTTCTTCCTGAAATTCTCCTATTGCTATAATTTCAATGCGTGAACCGTGCTAAATTATTAAGGTCTTTCAATTTTTTTTTTAAATTGTATATATGGTGTAGAAAGCTGACAATAATAAATATTTTATAATATCAGTGAGTTTAAGTAAAGCTTTCCTGGCTGCAACGGCAGATATATCTAAAAATTGCTAATTTTACGGATGCGTCAAATATTGACAGCTGCGTGCATACATTACAATTATATATTTGTTGTATGCACAAGCGAACCGCGGCAGTAGCCTACTTTGTCTTTAGAGAAACAGGGGCCACGTCGAAGGACCCGGTGCTTGATATTGTGATAGATGTAAAATAAATCATAAGGTTTTATTTGATACTTGTATTAAATTAATGAGCAAGTATATTAATTCATATGTTGCCATGTTGGATGAAGTGGAAAATCTTTTAATCATGGCATAAAATTAAATTAAATTATGCGTGTTAGCGTAGTGTTCAGGCATTGAAATGATAACAATGGGCTAATTTCTAAAGGTCTTCCTTTTTAATACACCTTGTCAATATTTTACGCACCCTGGCACCCGTATAGGTTCAGCATAGTGCCCAGGCATTCAAATTATAACAATTGGATAGTTTCTAAAGGTTTCCTTTTTTGAGACGGTTATAGAACTTACCTTCAAATGCATGGGATTTAAAATTTGCGGTTAGCGGTCTGCCGTAGACGTCACTCGTAAGGTCTCATGAATTTAGTATTAATGTGTCTGAGAAGTATATATATAGCATATCAGTTTCTTTGAAGTTTTAATTAATGAGATCCCATGCAGCTTGGGGTCATCAGACTGGGTTTGGCGGAAATTTTTAATTATTTAGGATGTGCTTTATTACCACGCTGACAGCTCAGACCCACCTTAACTCCTTCGAGCGTTTCGCACCAATGTACTGTATCAGTGTATCGAAATGGCTTTATGCCGCCAAGTGTCTTTGTCTTTCGCCTGTTTTCTGATTAGAATTTCTTCCCAGTCATATTTGAAAATATGAGTGTTTAAGTGGACCATATACATCTTCCTTACTCTGGTACTGCATAAAATACACCCTCCCGAAAAGTATTGAGCCGTGGCTATTTGCCTCGTTTCCTGAGACATTGGCTTTAGAGATGGCATAATTATAAACAGGTCTTTTATATTCACGGATATAACTACGCTTTTGTAAATATCGCAACAGCCAACAAGATAAAAGGTTCTAGATCTGGACCTATGTCGATCACGAAAACGACGCTTCATAGCTAAGATTGCGCACTTTCCGGAAGGAAGGGTGTAGCTATATATTTTCACCATGTTATTTTTTGTACTTATTCTTCAGCTTAAATCTTAAGAACGTGTCAAGGCATTCCTTTGAAACAACTCATTGTATTTTTGTCACTTTTCTGTTTACTTGCGTTTAAGCTCATAAAACAACAAAACAGTTGTTTTTTGTATGCGTGTTCTAAGAAATATTAATATATATGATAAAATTACGTGTATAATTGTTTACATTGAGCACGTACTGAGTAGTTAAACACTTTGTTATCTTTTGGTATTAGTCCTAGAACGTCAGCCTACACTGTGGCAATAAGACATAAAGACATATAACTCAATACTCACAATAGATGTATCGCCTTCGCACTTTTATGACCCTTTTACCTATGTTGTGTAGGTTGTGGTTGAGCTTTTAAAACAATATTGCTATTACGAAGCCTAGTCGAATTGTAATCAAGCAAAGCCCAGTCGAATTGTAATCAAGACCCAACGTTTCGACACTCCAGTCTATAGTGTCTTCAGCATGGGTGATCTAAAAATGCAATCGTGGCTTCTTATATACCCAAGGGATGACGTCATCTGCCAGTGAGACGCATGTATTCCTCTGGCAAATAGGCACCGTCATCCCTATTCAGACTATTCAAAGCATGATTACTCATATTTATATGCGACGCTTCTTCAAAGTCTTTGACCATAGCGATTGTTTGTGGTAATTACTTTAGAGTTTCCCCACGCAATCCCGTATTTGGTGTAACACACATGTTCTGGGTATATAAGAAGCCACGATTGCATCTTTAGATCACCCCTGATGAAGACACGAGACTAGAGTGTTGAAACGTTGGGTCTTGATTACAATTCGACTGGGCTTTGTAATCATTTATTTAAACCAGAGTAGCGAGGTCGCCTCATGATTAAGGTTTAGTCGAGTTAGGAAGGACGACCTTTTTTGAATTATTATTTTGAATTATTCTGGCCACTATCAGTTTCCCCAAAAATGTTGGCGAGCGTGGGGGGGGGGGGGGAGGTTTAAAAAAAAAATTTTTCCCGACATTAAAAAAAGGGTCGAAAATTTTTTTCCGGGCATAAACCATTCAAATTAAGAGTCACAAGAATGTTTCCGTACAAATTCCTGCTAAACCATGAGTGAAAGTCTTATTTTTGGACCAATATCTGTAAAATTTAGATCTATAAATTCTATTCAATTCCCTCTGAAAGCCCTGTAAGTTACTTAATAACTGCACATTCTATCATTTAAAATCTTTGATTGCCCTGCCAATCCAGATGATTCGCCCTGCCAAACCTGATAATTCGTGACAAGGCTTGCATTATACAGCTAATTCAAAAAAGGTTGTCCTTTGCAAAACTTAAACCTTAAACTTTATTAAGCGTGCAAAGCATAATGGGAGCATCTTTTAATCAGTTTAGAAATCATATAAAGTTTAAGGTTTACAGTTTAAGGTTTGCAAAGAACAACCGGCTATCTTTTAATCCAGGTTGTATTCTTAATATATATTGATATATATCCTGACAAAATTTTTATATTGAAAAACAAAATATTATCGAAACATCAATAAAAATAATGGATTTTGTGGATAAAATTACCAAAACAATTGATGAAGGAAAATTCTCAGTTGGTATTTTCCTGGATTTTGTCAAAGGCATTTGATATTTCACCAATTTTCTAATTAATTGTATACTTTACTATTATATACATTTCTATACTATTATATACTATTATATATATATATATATATATATATATATATATATATATATATATATATATATATATATATATATATATATATATATATATATATATATATATATATATATATATATATATATATATATATATATATATATATTCTATACTATTATAGAGGTTAAGATACCCCGGTTTCGGTGTACGGGTACGAGTAGTGTCATCTTGTTTTACTGATGTCTGTAATTCGATCATACTTTTTCTGTTTTCTTGCAATAGACAATGATATAATGCGAAAAATGTGCACCTTAATTACGAGTAAAGGTACAGACATCGACGAAAATGTTGCTAACCAAAATCATGTTACTCGTACCCGTACACCAAAACCGGGGTATCTTAACCTCTCTACTGAAACACTCGAGCTGCGCTCAGCGCTCTCGTGTTTTATATCTGATAAAGCACTCCTGGTCGTGTTTTAAATAATACATATAATTAGAGAGGGAATAGCTTTTTATACCTTTTCAGCGGCAACTGCAGTGTAACAAATTTAGAACTATAAGATGATGTGAGTGTGATGTATGTATATTAATATACTTGGGGATCTCAAGATTTGACCTTCAACTTGAAAACCCGCTTTAATTTGGTTCTTTATAAACGGTAATAATGATTTATTTATATCCATGACGTGCACTTAAACTTTCACAGTACTTTCCAAATTGCTTCCTGACCTATTAGTATGTGGTGCATTCATTTTTATGTGGTGCACTCAAAATTAATTATTTTGTTTTGATCGGAAATTTACTAGGAAACGCTGTAATTGTTTTGTTTTGTTTTCGTAATTCTAATTACATAACTTCAATAAGACCCGGGATGGGCTGCCTGTAGTCATCCATCAAATCGAAAGTGCATTAGCCATTGAGACTTGAGTACTATAACTTAAACTAAACCAACTTCATTTATATTGGGAAGCTCTTTCAGCTTGAAACTTCTGTTCTCAGAGGTGCAGGTGTCCTGACCTAATTAGCATAAACAGCGACGCACATCACTACAATTCGATAGGCACATTTTTTGCAATCAGATTTTGATGGTTCGATAAAATGAGAAATCATTTTCATTTCTTTGAAGGCGATTTGCGAGCTCGTAAATATAGTCAATATCGCTGATTTTCCTTCCGAATGAAAATTGTATATTCTTGGAAAGTTTTAACTTAATTGACGCAGGATAGTCTAGTGACATGTTATACGAAAAACTTTTTTTAACTTTGTAAAATGTAAAATGTGAAAGTTGAACAGTACTTAAATTCGTAGACATTCCAAGAGCATGGACCTTTTATAATCTGCTTGGTTTAGTTGGTTAAAGTGGTATCTGAAATCGAGCCCGTGACAGTGATGATACACAGTCTGTGTGGCTCGCGCATTGCCGTGCTAAGCCGTGAAGTGCGCTGGTAGACGAACTGTAAATTTCAGAAAGCTTTGTGAAATTATTAGGTCTAAACGACTATCAGTAATATGATAAAGAATCTCTCCTAGGATTAGCCCACTGGGTGCTTCAAAAACTTTCGCCTGGTGAAGATTGGAGACAGGGGTCTGTTGTGCCCTGAAGTGCTCTTAGCATCCTTTCGCTACGGATATAAAGATTTTTTTGCTAGATAAGTTTTCTAATCCACTTTGAATAAAGTGTTGATTCGTTCATTCAGTAGTAAAAGTGATTGATTCACTGCTAATTCTTTATCATGCATCGTGTGATGGCTTCATCCTCCCCTCCCCCACGCCCCCCCCCTCCTCCCGCTTACACACCCCAACAAACTTACAAATTTTTAGAATTTCAAATGAAGAATCTCTTCTTGGTTCTTTTAAAAAGTTTCGTGTCTGTCAGAAATAAAGCAAGGGACCTTTGATTTGTCATTTTTTCCTTGAGAAGTTTTATAATCTTCTTGAAATGAAATGTAGTTGTATAAATGTGTCTGAGATCGAACTATTTAATTAATGATGAAAAGTTAAAAGGAATTATCATTGTGCTTATAGGTTTTGAATAATTTCCTTTTAGTAATTGTCTGTGATTAATAAACGTGATTATTGCGATTGTCTTCATGAGAAAAGATGACACACCTTAATTTTGTTGTGATCTTATACAGGGTGTCCCCCCAAAAACGAAAACTATTGAAATAACGTTTGTTAGAATTTGAATGCCTCAGCACTCTGCTGAACCAACTCGTGCATCAAAGCTTGAAAAAAAATAAAGAAACCGTATAAGAAGCTGTTTTAAATTCCCAAGAGCAGAAGATATTGCGCTTTACAAAGATATTTTAATTTCTTGATAAGTCAATATTTAATATATGCACCCTTGTCAATATTTTACGATCTTTGCGTTCAGCTTAGGCATTCAAATTGCTAGGGCATTCAAATTTTAACAATACGTTATTTCAATGGTTTTGCGTTTTTTTTGGGACACCCTGCAAAGAGCCGGCGACGTCCTGGACCTTGTAGCTGAGTTGGTTAGAGCGTTGAACCGGAATCGAAGGGCCACAGGTTTGATTCTGCCAGAGGACCTATATTGTTGCGATTTCTTGGTATCTATAAAATTAGCTCGTCATTTGACAAATGGGTCGAAATATCACACTGAATATTATTCTTTTAACAAGTAGCTATGTTTTTGTATTGAAGGTGTTTCTATCAACGCATGGGAGCCTTTATATATCATGTTCTTTATGAGTTAAATCGTTGTGATTCATTATGGAATATGTTGTGCATGATTGCTTGATGGTTTCGGATCCCTGCTGTGCTCCATCACACCCCTTCCTCATTTAACAACTGTATATAAGCTTATTTACGCCATTTTGACGTGACATGCAATCAGATCCAGGATTACTGCAATTTAAACCTCATAATGGATTTTTCATATAAGCATACTCACTTCAAACGCCACTGGCATTCTCAGAGTTTGTGATTGAAGTGAGACGCGCAGACTGCACAGTCCATCCATACTTGTACATTTGAGTGAATGCAGTTTGTTGTAAAGTGACCTTGTGTCAGAAAAATATCAAGTCTTGGTTGAATTTCTATTGAATACACCAGCTAGTTCTTTCAGAAATTCTCGTACAGGAAGGTATGCGGGTAATAATCAAATTATTATTATACAGTATACGGGGATAAATCAAATTATGTTGGGTTTTGAATGCCTTTGACACTTTGAATATGAACTTGTCTAAAGTGATCAGGCCATTGAATTTGTTGGTGGTACAACGCAATACAACGTTTTAGTGTGTGTACTAATGTACGTGCCTTTGACCTCCGTGACCGCGATTGATTAATATACAGTTGCCTGATTCAGAGAGGTTCTCTGTGTCTGATTATAGTTTCACCTCAGTTGCGCGTGAGAAGAGTTTACCAAACCCCGCATTCCGATTTCCTCTTGTTGTAACACAGAAACGAAGTCGATGAACAAGTAAGCGTTGATGCTTACTGGACCTCTTGGAAGAACGCTTTAGAATTGACAAAACAATCCTAGGACTATCATGTAGTAAGTTAGTAACTCTGGAGTCTGGACAAAGAAGCCATGGGCATTGAACATAGATAATTGCAGATTCACATTGCTGATAAAACCATATTCTCCTAAAGTTGTTCTGTTCTTCAAAAATCGATTGCGTGCAGGCAATCTAAACAAAACAAGCCACTTGTTAGCGTTTCAAATTTAAACCCTTACGGCCTTACGCATTAGTGCACTCCATTGATGAGAGGATTTACAAGGGCGCTTGAATACACTGCAGTTATATTTTGTTACCCGACAGACAGATGGCAGACTTGGGCCACTTGGCAAAAAGGTATACACCCATAGGTTGGGGTGTAGAGGATCGATATGAGGCTCAAGTGATATGGTTTTACTCTTAAAACATGTCAGTAGACCACACCATTAATTTTGTATAGCTGTCTATAGGGCATAGGCTTAATCATGATTAGAAGAACTTGCATTCTACTTGTACTTGTGGCATAATCTGCACAATATAAATGGAGATTCAGCGCCTCTGACGGTCTGACCCCCAGTGCCCAATGGTCACCCGCAGAAAATATTTTATCGCCAAAATCACACATGCATGTACGCCGTCTTTGGGAAGCGCAATCGCGTGACGTTAGCCCGTAACCAAAGCACAGGCAAACCATGCAACGCCAACGGAAATCTTGCTTGTTTTAGTCTAATAAAATCTTTAATCAAATATAGCAAAGACGAGTTGTAAATAATGCTACTGTGTATATCCTCGAATTTAATTTAACAAATTGATCCGTAAAGATGTTGACATTTCAATCTCACCGGAATTGGAATTTAATTTTAAGAAACGCGGATACTCGCGTGCCTGTTACACCATTCGTATACATTCTAACAGATTCTATTTGTTCTCTAGGTCTTTGGCGAGTGACGAGAGACGGCTGAGCTAACTGCGTTTTGGCCCATCGATCGTTTTCTAAGCCAAAAATAGTCTGAGTCTCTGCATTCAAGGTCGCATAGTCTGAGTCAAGGGCACACATTCAAGGTAGCATCTCCACAGCAACGTTTCTCTGAGGACAGGTCACAAAAGCTGAGAATCGAGCTAACGGTTTGTGGTACGTATCGCTTTATTATTTACATTATTTACCGTAATTTACATATTTTGCGAGTGCGCACGAGATTGATTACCCATTTGGACCAACTTGGGGAAAGAAAATATATAGTTCATGAAATCTGATCATTCAATGTTCATAACTAAACACTGCAAAAACCAAAACAGACCATCCGTCAAGGTAAACCATCTCCGAAGTTTGTGCGTACCTCTTAAGATAATCTATATAACTCGCATAGACAATGGGCAAAGCAATCGATCGAATATTCGTATTTAGGGCCAATTTACGTGATTCGTGGTTGGCGGGGGTTTATATAGACATACAGCTTGATTATTCTGAATATGTTTCCAGAAAAAGCATTTAAGACGTGCCTAAAAGGCAAATTTAATCCCGCCTAGACGCCTAGCCGGGTTAGAGTGTTTATATGGGAATTTCGCGCTACCCCCACTAGGCTGGATGGAACTGGGATTATGTAAATACTCGTTTCAGGAGTTTATTTATAGGACCGGGATCTCAGCAACTATCCCTCAAACTGTCTCGTCCTTCCTAGCCGGGATCATATAAACAGGCCCCGTCTCGAGGGGGCATTGCATTCTCGCCAATAGCTACATGCATATGTTACCAATTAATTAATAAACACTTGCTTTATCTAAATGCAATTGAAAAATATTTGCAATTAGAACTATGCCAAGGTCGATGACAAATTCAAAGGGGCCAGAAATTCATTGTCAGAAAAAAATATTTATCTCTATTTATTTATGTATTTATTATATCCGGTATGCCTCAGGTCTTTCAACCCGTGCTATTTATAGCAAACCTTCCATTCTTCAAAGACCGAGTTATACATCTGAATTGAGTGTTGAAGGGTTTTTGTACATGGAAATTGCGAGTGTAAATTTTATCGTTTTACCCTCTTTTCCGTTTCCGCTTTACCGGTTCCGCCATTCCGTTTCCACGTTTTACCCCTCCCCAATTTTATCTATACATCCGGGGCCCTCTGGCAGGAATCGAACCTGCGGTCCTGCGATTTCGATGCCCAGCGGTCTAACATGCAGACTGAGCAACAGAGGCCAGTTATCGAGCTTTTACCACATGGATGGAAAAACTGCTCAACATTTAGTTCTACCGCGCAAAGTTCTGATATTAGAGAGGTTAAGATACCCCGGTTTCGGTGTACGGGTACGAGTAGCATGATTTTGGTTAGCTATATTTTCGTCGATGTCTGTACCTTTACTCGTAATTCCCCGGAGGGGTAGCTGGCCGGGGTTAGGGTTTGCGGTTAGGGTTTGCGGTTAGGTTGCGGGGTTAGCAGGTGGGGTTAGGGGTTAGGGGTTAGAAGGTGGGGTTAGGGTTAGGGGTTAGGATTAGTGTTAGGATTAGGGTTTGAGTTAGGATTAGCGTTTGGATTAATTGTAAATCCATTGTAACCAATACTTTATTGCATACAATGGCATTACAACGCCAATAAATTATTGGTTACAACGTGCGGAACGGCTGCTATTTTTCCCATACACATTACACTGGTAGCACATGAACTTTCATTGCGGTGAACTGAGTCCAGTTGTCGAGCTTTCACCAGAGGCGCACGTTCCATTCCTGAAAATGTAATAAATTTACACTCGAGATTTTTATCCGCAAAAAGCCCTTTAATACCTTATAGTTCTACCGAGTGAGATGACCAAATCCCTGATATACCTGAATTGAACTAACTTTTTTCAGCCGTTCTGCATAGCTGGGGCTTTCAAGTTTTAATTGTTCCCCGCAGAGGGCCATTACTTACTTGACCTTCTTACCGATAGGAGTAAAGTACCTGGAGAAAACCTGATGTGTTTGGTAGAGTCATGCTGGTAGCATTTTTTCACATGTGAATTATAATCGAACAATAAATCCCGGTCAAAAAGGTGAAGGGCAAATGTACTAACCACTGTAAATGTCCTAACAACGTCCCGATAAACTTATACTTCTAGAATGCTAGATAATGAAGACTCGTGTTTCTCGTTCTACCTAGATTTGGAGTTAAATCAGCCTTTGGATTGTCATCAGTGATGTTGGAGGGTGCATTACAGTTGTTTGTTATTATTTTCCTTGGCTTTCCTTCCTCTGGGCAGACTCATGTGAATGTCGAAATTACGGACAAAAACCAAGGTTTGTCAATGGGCTTCAGAGAAGATATCTATCTCGTTGCGGTCCACTGTAGGTAGTATACAATAAACTGCCGTGGTTTGTTTCTGAACTACCTGAAAACGATATCTCAAACGTGGGGGTCGAGTGTTGGTAACACTTTACAATATTAAAGCTGTCGTGGTTTGTGTCTGAAATATAACAGTCAATAGAGGGACACCACCATCATCACCACCATCATTACGTAGATATATATATCAGAAGTCTTTTAGCTTTGTTTGATATATTTATTTTCTGTTGGACGTCCATATTCAACCTGATACTCAGGGTTTTCACTTCCGCTACCGCCAAAACCCGCCGCAGCGAGGGTTCGTGGAAATCCTGAGTATCAGGTTGGTCTATATTCGGGTTAAATTCTTAAGAGGAGATGTGTTGATCAACTGTTAATGATCAAATTAAGATAGTCAGACTGATGATGTATTCGAAATTAAGATAAGATGGACGAGAAAATTGAAATTAGATAAGAATAATATTCAGTGACCTGCTGAAACCAAATCGTAATTGGCTGTGTGAATTTGATAACCAGCCAGTATCCCACAGGGACCGCGGAACCGGGGGGGGGGCAATGGGGGCATGTGCCCCTCCATTTTTTTTAAAAGTGAAAAAAGTGCCCTTTTTCTGGGCTAAAGTAAAGTGCCCCATTTACAGAACGAAAAAAGTATTTCTTGAATAAACGCCCTCTTTTGCTGGAAAGAAAGTGCCCTTTTTGCAGTAGTAAAGACTCTATAAAGGCCATTTCCGACGTTATAGAGACTCCATATTTTCAAAAATTTTCGTTCGGCTCGTGAACGACATAAAATAGTTTGATTTTGATCATATACAAAAGTGCCCCTTTTGGCCAATGCCCAATGGCGTAGCAGGCTAAAAAAATCGTCCCGCCAAAGGCGGACCCATTGCACCGAAGGTGCGACCTTCCTAAAGGGGTTTGTGGGCATGCCCCCCCCCCCCCGAGAAAATTTGAAGTCTAGAACCTCGGAAATGGCATTTCCTGCGATTTCGAGGGTGGAAGGATGTGACTAAACAAAGTTTCCATACACCTCTAACAGGAGTATTTTCCCTTCGTAAAATACAAAAAATGCCATCTGGCCGAGAGAAGATCTGTGTGAGCTCAGAGAAGTGCTGTGCTAGGCAAAAATATTGCCCTGTCTGCAGCACAACGAATAATTAATCACTGCACCACGTATAATATCTCAAGCACTGCGACTGCGTATGATGTTGAAACCACAGCAAGTAGTTACTGTAGTGGTTTTATCCTTTACTGCGTAAATGATAAAACCACTGCGTACAATGCTGAAGGTATACCGCGTATAACGTTATACCGACCGCGTATAATGTCTCAAGCCCGCATATAATGCTAAAAGCACTTCGTATATTATTAAATTCTCAAGCACTGAAGCACCGCGTATAATGTTAAAAGCACCTCGTATAATGTTGCGTGTAGCCCATATATAATGTCAAAATTATCGCGTATAATGCTCGAACTCGAAGCACCGCGTATAATGTAGAGAGCACCTCGTATAACGATAAAAGCACCACATAAACCACATATATAATGCTAAAAGCACCGAATGAAATGAAATTCCGCTATGGCTTTCCATAAGGTTCGTCACGCTCGTTGAAGCCATTGTATACAAATCACAAAAGCAATATCAAATATGATATGAATTGTAAGATAGTATTGCATATTCCGCCACATGAAAATCAGCGGAACACGAGACATGCGATTCACGAATTGCGTGAGTAAGCAATAAATTGCGTGGAAATTAGCAGCAGTTACTAGACAACAAAGAGGTCAAAGAGCAGACAGCAATATTGCGTAAACTTTAAATGAATGACAAATGAAGGCACTGAAAAATGATCATAATTAATATTTAAATTTTCAGAATAAGCAAAGCTGTGATTTTGGCTTCACTATAAAACATTTACTCATTTTTTTGGAAATTGTTAGTCCCGCTCGGCGGGACAGCGGGACCGCTAGCTACGCCACTGCCAATGCCCCTCCACTTTCGAAATGCTTCCGCGGCCTCTGGTATCCCAGAATGCGTGCACTGCATGCCCCACAAGCACTTTGGGAATATCGTCTTCGCATTTTTTTTATGACATAAACTCAACTAACTTACTTATACTGGATAGCTCTATCAGTTCTAAACTGTTTCAACTAGAGGTCCAGTAAAGATCATCTCTTGTTGATCCAATGTTACTACAGGAGAAAACCTAAACTAAACTAACTTTATTTCTACTGGCTAGCTCTATCAGGTCTAAACTGTTCTTCCTACACTCAGCTACAGGTTCAGTAATGGTCATCTTCACTAAAAAACATGCGGTGTTTGGTGTGACTGAGGTGAAATTATAATCAGACAACTGTATATTGCAAGAACCGAACCCCGGTTACAGAGGTCAAAGGTGTCAAATTTCCCAATCAAGTAGAATAATAATTGTTCTTTATTTCAGCGGCAGTCTTGAAAGCCTCAGCCGAACATCATATAGTCTTTCCCTATGAAGTCGACACCGACGGCAATTTTGTAACCCACGATATCCATCATCGAACCAAACGTTCCCTAGAGACACCTGATATCCATTACCATATACCTTTCAAGAATGAGAGATTCCATCTCGAACTGAAACCGAATGATGGCTTGATGATTTTCGGTTTGGAGGTCGAGTGGAGTTCTGGAAAGAGAAGACGAGCAGATAGGAACTGTCATTTTATTGGTTCAGTTAGGAACTATACAAAGAGTTCAGTGGCAATCAGTAATTGCAGAGGATTGGTGAGTAACATTGGAAGATTTATAGTAAAGACGAATGGTCCGTCTGGACGAACTTGGCAAAGAAAGATATATAGTTGTCTTGTTTCTTATCTTCAGTTCGTGGGTATCATGTAAAATTTGTTTATCTACTAGGCAGGTTTGATCCGAGCTGACCAGAGCAGAGAGTTCTTTATTGAACCCGTGTTAGGACTGGACCCAAGTAAACACGATGGTAAACATGCTCACGCGATCTACAGAAGATCTGTCGGAGAGGAACTGGGCAAGAATATAACTGAACCAGTTTGCGGCGTCACAGGTACATCAATAAACTACCGTATTAGAACCTCCATCCAACCATCGCTTCCTCTTTCTTTCTTTCTTTCTTTCTTTCTTTCTTTCTTTCTTTCTTTCTTTCTTTCTTTCTTTCTTTCTTTCTTTCTTTCTTTCTTTCTTTCTTTCTTTCTTTCTTTCTTTCCTTCCTTCCTTCCTTCCTTCCTTCCTTCCTTCCTTCCTTCCTTCCTTCCTTCCTTCCTTCCTTCCTCGCTCCCTCCCTCCCTCGCTCGCTCTCCCTCCCTCCCTCCCTTCCTTCCTTCCTTCCTTCCTTCCTCCCTTCGTCCCTCCCTCCCTCGCTCGCTCCCTCCCTCCCTTCCTCCCTCTCTCTTTCTTTCTTTCTTTCTTTCTTTCTTTCTTTCCTAATGTCTGAGATAAAACTGAAAAATAATCCATCAGTTCATTCCATTGAAATTCTTACCCAATGTTATCATCAACTTGCTAACAAATTGTTACATGCAGACAATATCAAACTTGTTGGAACAACTTGTTGGAACAACTTTTTGCCAGTTTGTTAGCCTCGTTAACCTTGTTACAAGATGATAACAACTTGTTCCAGACTTGTCAATAACAATAGGAACAGTGACAGCTGTCAGATTTTTGCACATGTAGAACAGTAGAAGTCCTAGAGCTCTTCTTTACTCCAGCATTTATATTTTCTTGCCTTCTTTTGTTTCTTTCTTCCTCGTTTCCTTATACAAACTATATCTTTCTTGTGTATATTTCATAGTTGAAGATGTCCAAGGCCGCGACCATTTCGAAGAGCAGCCAAGAGAAGAAGGGAAAGGTTTCTTCGTAAGGCGACGAAATAAACGTTCCGTCAGCTTAATGAAACATGTCGAAATACTTCTTGTCGCAGATTATTCAATGACAAAATATTATAGCAACAGGGATTTAGAGAGTTATCTTTTTACTGTTATGAATATGGTAAGTGGCTGTCATTAATAGTAAGGATTTTAAGTCATTACAACCTTTCATTTGTCGCTTCTAAAGCCCAGGTCGCACTACACAACGATAACGATACGATAACTTGTAAACACGCGATGATTGGTCAAAACAGTTATGTTGGTGTCCACAATACAACGAAAACTATACAATTATCATGATTTTTTCTGTGTTGGTGTATTAATGTACTCAGGTGAATGTGATGTTTGTGATGTTACTCTGAGTGTATATCCACACCGGACAAGCTTGAAAAATATGCCTGGCCACGGTGGCATATTTTGCGAGCTTGTCCGGTGTGGATATACACTCAGAGTAACATCACAAACATGATAAAATTATCGTTTGACGATAACTGTAACGATTTTAAAATCGCTCGGGTAAGCGCGCGTATACAAGTTATTGTGTCGTTACCGTTGTGTAGTGTGACCGGGCCTTAAAGGCCATGTTACACGGTGCAATTTTTCTTGCAACTTGCAATGCAATTCTACTCTTGATAGATGTAAAATTGCCAAATACGAGTCTTCATTACACTCCGCTGATGTTTTCTTAACATATCGAAAATTCTTCACTGATTTCACTAATTAATATCTCTCAAGAGTAGAATTGCATTGCAAGTTGCAAGAAAAATTGCACCGTGTAACATGGCCTTAAGTCAAGCATCTTTAAATTCAACTACAAATTCAATTTTAAATTCAATTTTAATTTGATTTAATTCAATTTTAATTTGATTTTAGTTATCCTTGGTGTTTAGACATCGCAGTATTGGTTCAGCTATCAACGTTGTGTTGGTCAGGATGGTTATTATTGACACAGAGCATGAGGTAAATTGACTCTAACAATGTTGTTGTCATATTTTGCGGGACTATTCATTTAATAACCAAAATTTCATTGGCAAAAAACTATCGTCGATCGTTGCGTTTTCGGTGGCATTATTGGCGTTTTAAAAATTTAAAGTTAGTCGCGTTTTTTCTTTACTAGAAAGGATTAAATGTCACTAATCATGCCAGAAGATCGCTGAACAACTTTTGTCGCTGGGTTCAAAAGGTTAATCCACGATCAGATTTAGACCCTCAACATGCTGACGCTGCAGTTCTTGTTACCAGGTGAGTACATTTGGAGTCAATCGTTTGCCACTGAACCTTTTTAACTTTATTTATATTGGATAGCTCTATCAATTCTTCACTGTTTTGCTAGAGGTCTACTTTTCAGATCTTCCGTTGCTACCTCCAAAGTCTAAAGGTCTAACTCCAAACCAAAATATACACTTCAGTAACTTGTGTAATTCAAAACTGAGTTGAAATATGAATTGTGGAGTTACTGGCTAACTCCAAATATCATTTGGAGCTATAGTAGGTACAACTCCAAATATTATTTCGGAGCTAGGTATCTAAGCATGGGATTAGCTTAAAAATCATTTGGAGCTAATATAACTCCAAAAATTATGAAAAAGCTAGGTATCTAAGGGGCTGATTACTTGGGCCGAGTTGTCCCGCTTTGCCGAGTTGTCCCGGCTAAGCGAGTTGACTTTTGAATTGCGATTACATGCACCGCGCTAACCCGGTTAGCCGGGCTGAAGTAGCTCATTAAGATCTGTAATGCTTAACAATTTAATACTCGGTGTTTGAAATCGATTAAAAATGGTGTATTTGTTGTATTTGAGGACTACTTTACCCACTGAATGTTGTTGGTTGAGGTATTTATACTTAGCGCTGATCCCAACAGGCTTATACTGTTTGTATTCTAACAAAATTGTGTCGCGTTCATTAAGTACTATTTAAAAAACGAGCAGGAGTGTTTTATTAGGTTTAAAGCCACGAGCGCGCAGCGCGAGTGGCTTTAGACCTAATAAAACACGACCTGCGAGTTTTTTAAATGGCTTCAAAAACGTTTGCATAATAAGTGACCTAATAAAACACGACCTGCGAGTTTTTTAAATGGCTTCAAAAACGTTTGCATAATAAGTCAAATCTTCATATAAAAATCTTTATATAAAAAATCTTTATATAAAAATCTTTATATAAAAATCTTTATATAAAAATCTTTATATAGTTTGAAATTTTGTAGGTGTTTTCATAAAATGTCTTTTGTTAAAGTGTTCTTTAGAAATCTTTATATAGTTTGCATAAAATGTCTTTTGTTAAAGTGTTCTTTAGCTGATATAAAGACGTATGCACATGACTAATTTCTTACTCAAGATTGGATACTTGCTTCATGAATTATTAATGAGTTTTTGAATATAATTTTGATGTTATTTGAAGTTTTTTAAACTTATATTTGTACATATTGAAAACTTATATTTGTACACATTTGAAATTAAAACATACATAAGTGTCAGGGTTCGTAGCGGTCTTTGAAATCCTTGAAAGTCTTTAAATTGGAATGCAGGTCTTTGAGGTCTTTGAAAAGTCTTTAAATTGTGTGAAAAAGCGAAGAAAGTCTTTAAAAGTCTTTAAATTCTTTAGTGAGGAATTGATTATACGATTTCCTAGCTAATAAAATAGATTGATTGAAGCAAGATTTATGTGATTTGACGGGACTGATTACTGGGTAAAAATGTTGCTTACACTCGCAATTTTTCGACAGCTAATTGCTCTCAGAGGTCTTTGAAAAGTCTTTGAAAATAGGCAGGAAAAATCTTTGAAAGTCTTTGAATTTGTTTGGTCTTGGAGACTACGAACCCTGAGTGTGTCAACTTGCTTAGCTGGGACAACTCGCCCATGTAATCGGCCCCTAAGCCTGGAGTTACTGGCTAACTCGAAAAATGATTTTGGGCTAAGTATAACTAAAAAAATCACAAAATATCTAGGTATTTAAGTCTGGAGTTACTGGCTAACGGCACACTTGGCATTTTGTTCTCATTCAGAGGCTAGATTTTGATCTGCAGGTCCGGCGCAACCTATTCTCGTACCACTCGACCCTCGTCATTCTCTGTTGACCGCGTGTAAGATGGGCTCTGGGTACGAGAATGTGGCATAGCCTAGCTAGCTCCATTTGAAGATTGGCTACCTCCACAAAAATAAACTCTACAGGTATGCTGCTCACATGCGATTGAGGTGAAATTGTAATGAGACAACTGCATATTGCAGGAATCAAGCCCTGAACACACATGGGGGTGAAAGACACATGTACTAACCATTATCTGATAAATACACCTCTCGATAAACTGATCTGTATGCTTTCTATTTGATTGTTTTTAGGAAAGACATTTGTCGCAACTCGTACAAACCCTGCGAAACTTTGGGTAATTTATTCTTTAGTATTTTTCTGTCTACTTTCCAAAGATTAGTCTTCGAAACTAGTTTTGACCTCTTTATTGTTTATTTGAGATGAATGTTTTTAATCCCAGGCCTATCGAATATGGACGGTATGTGTTCATCTGGAAGTGAGTGCAGTTTTAATCAAGACACTGGTTTTACTTTGGTCTATACCATCGCTCACGAGTTAGGACATAAGTAAGTCTTTTTAAAGTATAAAATCTATGGGGTGTGAATTGTCTAATTACAATGGGGGGTTTCGACCAACATTAACAGAAGTTAGTAATCATTCAGCATCGATCTGAGTGGACACAGCGAGGTAGAGATAGGTTTAATTCCTACCAGAGGACCTTGTGCTGCATTTTTCGCAGTCGTTCCTGGTCAGGTCTTAAAGTGTATATATACTCACTTGGATTACAAACCCTAAAAAACAGCATGAGAGAAACGTATGAGTATCCCAAATCAATAAGGGTCTAGTTGAATCTGGCCACTGTCTACAGAATCAAGTTGCCAAAAGGTGACTAGTTTACATGAACTTGTGGTTAGCTCTTTGCAACTACGTTTTGTAGCTTAGTGGTCGTAGCACTGCAAGTAGTTATATATCCTGCACACCTCAGCTCTCCGTTATCGTCTCTATCTAAACTGATAGCGACCGTTCCAAGATTACGCATACGATTTTTTCTGTGTTTAGTCTTGGTGTCCTCCACGATGATGATTACAGCAGTTGTGCGCGACTTCGTGAACATATCATGGCAAGCAACCTTGTTGTCGATCCACCAGAACAATTGTGGTCAAAGTGTAGCAGAAGGGCCATGAAATCTTTCTTTTAGTAAGTTTATCTCACATTCACTCTCGGATTCAATTTTTACGTCTGTTAATATAGGTTGGGGGAACCTGCCCAGTAGCCGTATACGTAGCCGTCGGTAGGTTGTGGATGTCGCCGCTGGGAAGGGTTGGTAAATGGGTTGGCGATAGGGCTGAAAGCAGCAAAATGGCTGTGAGGGTCGGGCAGAAGCAACCTATTGTAAACATAATTCGATAATTCAGTTCTTGTACTGCGAGAGAGTGTGAGTCCAACGATACATTGCAATTGCACTTCTCTTCTCGTGTTTTTTTTTGTCGTATGGCTTAGGGACGGATGATCCGTCTGGAGGAACATATGCAAACTAGGATAAGATAACAAGTTCACAGAATTACAGTAATCAACTTCCCATAGCAAGTCTGCTTCATTAAAGTTTAAAATCAAATAATTGTTTTTTTCTTCAGCAAAGGATGGGGTTGGTGCCTTAATGATCAACCTGGAACATACATGCAACCAAAGTTACCAAGACGTATGTTACCTGGTGAACGATTTGACGCCGACGCTCAATGCAAGATGTTCTTTGGTTCCAAATCAACCATCTGTAGTGGTGCAGAGGTACGAGCTTAAAAATGTACTACTTACGCAGGGCAGAAAATGGTGGCCAAGTTGGGAACAGTTGACTCTTTTTATTTGCTTCCAAATGCATGACTAATAATATAATAAGCTAATTAACAATTATTGAATGAGGTTGAGCATGATATGAAGAATATCAAGCCAGAAGTTTGTGTTATCGACCCAAGCCGAAGGCTGAGGGGAAAATTATTGCTGGTTTTCACAGGCTGAAAGAATGCTCCTTCCGAGACCTCTTAGGAGAACAGTTTAGAAATGATAGATCTATCCAGTATAAATAAATTTAGTTTAGTTCAGGTTTCCTCTTGTTCTAATAAGGCATTGCCTTTTTAGACCTCTAGGAAAAGTAGTTTGGAACTGAGAGAGCCATTCAAAATAAGATGATAAGAAGATAAACCTGTAATGTGGAAGTTAAACCCAAATTCTTTTGTTTTCAGAAAGATTTATGCACGACATTATGGTGTGTTCACAATAGTGGATATTGTGCGACTAGACATGTTTCCGGCCTGAAGCCTAGTTTTCCCGCACTAGATGGAACCCCTTGTGGTAAGACAAAGGTGAATCTATACTGAAATTTATACACTAAGGTTGTTGTCGTCAGGATTTGAACCGTACTTTGAAAACGCGAGTGGTTTTTTGATTTTTGTTTGATTAATATATTAAGAGGCAATTTTTTTCAATGTCACGTATTTGCAATGAAAGGTGTTCAAAACCTAAAATATTTTTGGAGTTCCTCTCAAAATTACTTTGAGTCTTTGTTTTAGCTTTGTACATTCTCTAGTTTATAGCGTTAGCAACCTTTTTAAATGCATCTGCCGGTTGAGAAACATAAAATAATAGTTGAAAATTGTCAATTAAAATACAATTATCAATGATGCTTTAAAATTGACGCCATGCATATTTACAACCATATAAGCAAAACTTACTGAACTTCAGGCATCATTTTCTCTTTGGCGTATCATCTAAAATCTCTTCATTTTAGCATTATTTTACAGATACAGAGAAACGTATCGAAAAATAAAAATTTTGAATTTAGTCATAACCTCAAGTGATATATTATATATACGCATTAGTTTTGAGCGCGTGTTACGTAACAAAAAAAACTCCTTAATTTATATATTTAATAAACCTTCAATAATAATTTGGATTTAACAATGTCACACACACGAAAACGAGACTCTCTAGCCAAAATGTATTTTCCGGCAGGATGTACTGGTTCCTCGCAGCCATACGTACAGAATATTAAAATACGTTGTTTTATTTGCAGCATCAATGGTGTTTTAAAGGGAAATGCGTGACTAAGTTTAAGTTAAAAGAACCTGTTGATGGCAGCTGGGGAGAATGGTCACGCTGGAGTTCTTGTTCACAATCTTGCGGCCGTGGAGTGAGGCGACGAACAAGAAGATGTAACTCTCCCAGGTAAGCTCGTGTTTGTCATCGACTTTGTTTACATTGAATAGCTCTACAGTTCCAAATCAGTCGCTAACCTGTCAATTTTATTCTGCAGACCAGACCACGGAGGGTTTTACTGCGTGGGGGAATGGAAGAGACACAATATATGTAACGCACAGGTCAGTATCGTAACTTTTAAATGTACATGTGCAGTTTTGTAATGGTTACTTAAATCCACCCATTCATCAATCATGTATTCTTTAGCTATGCCCAGAAGGATCAGATAATCCAGTCCAAATTCAATGCAAGAAATTTCGAGCGTTACTGGTGAACGGAAAGAAATACAATTGGACCGCTAAGCAAAATCATAGTAAGTTTATGAGATAAACTTAAGTAAACCAAACCAAATTTATTTATACTGGTTAGCTCTATCAGTTCTAAACTGTTCTTCCTAGAGATCCGTCTCTTTGCCAAGTGTAACAATAAACCTAAACTTAACTTGGCTGAATCACACTGGAAGCATTCTTCGCACATGCTATTAGAATGCTGATAAATTGATCATCAGACAACTGCATATTGCAGGAACGAACCCCAGTGATATAAGACAATGGTACATGCATTTATAACCATCGTGTTACCACCTCCTTTTTTGATTTGACAACAAATCAGAATTTAGACGGCAATATTTTCGTTTAGGGAATCCATGTGAGTTGCGTTGTGTTCCTGTGGTAGAAAATGGTCACTCCAGAATCAGGAAGTTTATTCAAGCACGAGATGGTACTCCGTGTAACCATGGCACCAGGAATATCTGTATCCAGGGAAAGTGCGAGGTATCATGTTTCACAATGGACTTGATATATACTATATAGCTCTGTCAGTTCTAAACTTCCCAGAGTAAAACTCGTCTCATGCAAAGTTATAATCAGGCTAATGACTAACACTAGCAGGGAGGGACGAGAAGGAAGTTTTCAAGATATTTCAAAATTGAAACTGAGAGTTCGCTTTAGTTTAGGGTTAATGTTAGGGTCAGGATTGAGGTAAGGTTTAGGGTAAGGTTTATGATTGTTATGAGTGCATTGTTTTTTATTCTTTCGCGTTGTAATGATTTTGAAAAAAAGCTGCCACCTTGAAAACCTCCCTGTCGTCCATGCCCTTTATCAACGACCTCATATTCAGAAAAGTGCATAAAGTAGGAAACGAACCTCGATCACAGAGACGAAAGATATTCTAACCTCCGTGCAGTCAGCACTACAGAAAATGTTTAATGGGAAAGGGTGGAAACGATTTTGAAAACTATGGCAGTGAAATTTTATCTCCATCTTTATCATTCCATGACTCTTTGTTTCTTTTTCTTGCAGCATGTAGGTTGTGATGACAAGTTGTATTCCAGCGCCAGAGAGGACAGGTGTGGCATCTGTCGTGGTGATGGGAGCACATGTGAGACAAGACATGAATCCTTTGATCAACTAGAAGGAGAAGGTGAGATTGAAGCCGGAGGAAACCTAAACTAACTTTATTTATACTGGATAGCTCTATCAGTTTTAAACTGTTCTTTCTAAAGGCTCAGTAAGGATCATCACAGAAGCAAATCTAACCTAAACTAACTTTATTTATACTGGATAGCTCTATCAGTTTTAAAGTGTTCTTTCTAAAGGCTCAGTAAGGATCATCACAGAAGCAAATCTAAACTAAACTAACTTTATTTATACTGGGTAGCTAGATCTGTTCTAGGAGTCATCTCCACTAAAAAACTTGCGATATTTAGTGAAAACTGGAAACACTCTTCTCACATCTGACGGAAAAAACACATACACACCTTAAACACATGACCCTAAACTTGACGAAAACCAAATTTAACTGCTGCTGCTGTTGTAATAAAACACATAATAACATATTTTTACCTTTCTCCAGGTTATACTGAAGTATTAGTAATTCCAGCTCAGTCTCGAAACATCATAATTCAAGAAGTGTCAGGCTCTCCTAACTTTCTAGCCTTGAGGTCAGCCTCGGGTGATTACTACCTTAATGGTAACTGGTATATACAGTGGAGTGGGGACTATGATGTTGCTGGAGCCAGCGGGCAATATTCTCGAAGACATAACAGGGAGACGTTTGAGACGAAAGGACCGATCACTGAAGACCTTCATGTCTTGGTAAGTGTATTCTTTCTTTCATTCCTCTCTCCCTTTTTTACCTTCCTTCATTATTTTCTTTCGTCCTTCCTTTTTTCTGATATCGTTCATACAATCTTTCCTTCTTTTCTTTCTTTCTTCTCTGCTTCCTTGCTTGTTCATAGTTACCACACAAGGTGTGCTGCAAAACAAAATTTTAGTAGAACAAATGCTCGTGCAAACTATGGTAAATACACTTTTAAGTTTATTTCGTCAAAAAACTTGGAGTCTATTGACTATAGTATCATGTCTCTGTTAATATATTTGAAAATAATTTATTTAAAAAACTTTCTTTTACTTAATCAAGTTTAATTCATATAATACACTTGTTCATGTTCGTTGTAGATAACTTAAACTTACTGTAGACAGTGTACTTTGACCATGTCGTTTATTATACACCTTTCTGACTCCATAACATGGATGTAATTTATAACCGTTAAACTTTTGTAAATAGACCTAAAGTGTGCTAACTAAGTCATTCTTCTACCATTCCTTCTTTCCCGCTTTCCACTCACCCCTTCTTTCTCTTTCCATTCGCCTCTTCATTTGTCCATTCCTCCCTTAGTCTCTACACTCCCTTGCAACTATCTAACCTTCCTTTTATTCCTTCTTCTCTTTCTCTCGTTGCTTCCTTCTATCCCTCCTTCCATCTTTCCTTTCTTACTTCCTCCTTACTTCTATAGATTGTTCTCCCAAATACAATTCGTATCTTCTATGTAGCTTCTTTACCAAGGCAAGAACACCGGACTCAAAGTTCAGTATGATGTACGAAAAAATGAAACCATAAAACCTCGATATTTTCACTGGAAATATAGTCCTTGGACGCCTTGCTCTGTCAGTTGTGGTCAAGGTAAGATTTCCTAACTATAGTAATTATACTGGATAGGAGGTGGAGCTCCGTTCAGTACGAGTTAACCTGGACTTAAGTTTGATTTCAATTTTTTCAGGCATACAGGAAAGAGATATGGGTTGTGTTGACCAAGAAAACAATATCGTTGACGAAAGATTTTGTAGAAATAAATATCGCTACATAAAAAAACTTTGCAAACGTGTAGAGTGCCCACCAACGTAAGAAAATAAAGTTATGTCAATATTTCCCCAACTCTTTTAAAAATAAAATAAAAAAGTTAGAGTGTTTTGAAATCACTATAATAAAGTTATAAACGAAGATGAAATGTAAGACTTTGTAAGACTGTTATTTGTATCATAGAAAGCTAGCATCCACACCTCGTTATTCTCAGGTACAGACACTTAATTCCTAGTTGTTTATTATTTTCTTTTCATTTTATTCTTTCAGTTGGTGGGTTGGTGTGTGGCATGAATGTTCTCAAACCTGCGGGCATGCTGTCAAATACCGCGCTGTTCTTTGCACTCAGATAATCCTGGATATAAGACAGATCATAGATGATGAAAAATGCGGCGGAAATAAGCCAGCTGTTTCAACCGTTTGTGAACAACCTTTGTGTTGGACGGTACATCCATGGTCTAATGTATGTATAAAACATACTCTTTAAGTCAGTTGGTCAGTCAGTTAGTTAATCAGCGAATAAATTTTAGTGATAGAAATTAATTTAGTTTAGGTTTTCTCCTGTAGTAACACTGATCGATAAGACATGGCTTTTACTGGACCTCTAGGGAGAACAGTTTAGAACTGATAGAGCTATCCAGTATAAATAAAGTTAGTTTAGTTTAGGTTTATTCTCAGTGGCGTAGCCAACCCGACAATTTAGTCCTGCTATGCAAATTCAAAATTATTATCATTATTCATTTCTTTAGAAATTGATTGTTTTCACAGTCAATGAACATGGAAATATTTGCATAGCAGGACTAAATCATCTGACTGGCTACGCTACTGTTTATTCTAGTAGTAACATTGGATCAATAAGAGATGACTCTTACTGGTCTTCAAGAGAGAACAGTTTGGAACTGATAGGGTTATCCACTTATCCAGTATGAATAAAGTTTTTAGGTTTTCTCCTCGGGTAACACTGAACCACTAAGGGAATGGACCTTACTGGACCTCTAGGGAGTACTGCTCAGAATTGAATTATATTTATTTTACCATGCAAAAATATTAAATCATTTAAATATGTTTTTCGCAGTGTTCATCGTTATGTGGTCTTGGGTTACAACATCGTCTGGTAGAGTGTCCTGGAAACACGTCTCAGTGTGATTTCTCTACCAAATCTATCACAAACCGTACGTGTATGGGGAACACCTGTGCCCAGTGGCGCGTAACACCCTGGGGAGAGTGTTCGACAAGCTGTGGTAATGGTACCCAGATCAGGCGTGTGTCATGTGAACATCACGACGAGAACATGTGCAGGCGACATGAGAAGCCAAGGTCAACTCAAGTATGTCCTGGTATTCCGTGTCCAGTTTGGAGAACGGGAGACTGGAGCGAGTGTTCAGTGTCGTGTGGAAAGGGAGTGGAAACTAGAAATGTCACATGTGCAGAACGTCATGTGAATTTCACGTGCAGTGCATCGGAGAAGCCCATCATGGTTCGACCATGTTTGCAAAAGGTACGCCATTGCAATTATCCTGGGGGAAATTATGCCATATATTTTTTGATGGTCCATACACATATAGACGAATCATGCTGGAAATATCATCCATCTGACAGACATCCATCTTCCTGTAAACGCAACTAGACGAACTAGCTAGCTGTGAAGAAATCATGCCTGGTATTGGCATTATTCATACTAGGGATTGGTCATCTGTCAAAGATCAGTAGATCAACCAGCTAACATAATACGATCTATATGTACTGGCAAATGGTTCTGGAAACTAATCATGTCGAATCTTTTCGTGATAGTTCGTCTTGTGTTGTATTTACCGCATCATCCGTCAGTCTTAGTGTAAACACAGGACGAATTATCCAGATGAACTAGCTAGCATGGCGTGATCTATACTGGCAATGGTTCTGAGAAAAATCAAAATTGATATTTTTACTTAGGCTATGTTTACATTGTATCGGATCACTTTGCGTCCGACGCAAAAACCATACCGGATAGGGCTTCTGTTTACATATGAAATGTTGTTATCGTCTCAATTTCTGCAACGGACCGGTGGTGCGGCGGTTCGCTCTTCGAAGTGGTGCGCTGTGTATCGGATCGGTTTTTGCAACGTTCTCATTGCAATGTAAACACCATTCGGAGCAATTTTCGGTTCAATGCGTGACTCAAGATGGCATCAGGGGAAACAAAGACTTGCTATTCTAATCTTATTTGCTGGTATAGCTTGCTCACTTATAATATTTTTGTATTTAGTTGGGCGAGGGCGGAAGCTGTTTACAGTTGGGCCGTAACGTTTCGTGAATGGAGCAAAAACCGATCCGATACAATGTAAACATAGTCTTAGCCTCCTCCGCAGGCATCTCATTGAGGAATCGGGTGGTCGGAAAAAATCACTGGCTAAAACCCATAGAGAGGCCTGTGGAGGAGGCTATATTTTACTACACCCAGGTGGATCATAAACTGTAGACCAACAACGCAGATAATTCGGGTTTATTATACATAGACGAGTTAGCAGATGAACTACATGTTCTTTGTTCAAGTATATATCCGAATAAGGCTTCAGCTTTTACAATTTTCTAAACATTGTTGTTTTTTAAATAGCGATGTTCTGGTTGGACAGTGGGCGAATGGAGCTCTTGTTCAGCGTCTTGTGGAGAGGGAATCAGAGAGCGGAAAGTTGTGTGCTCTTTTACATCCTGCACAACATCCACCCGTCCGAAACACAAAGAGATCTGCCTGATACGAGATTGCCCACAGTGGTCAGCTAGCACGTGGTCTGAGTGTTCTGTCAGTTGTGGTGAGGGTACACAATATCGTAACATCACTTGCAGTGATCCTACAAATCCCTGCCCCGAGGAAACAAAACCCCCAAGTGTCCAGCAGTGTCTTACACAGGAGTGCACTACATGGAGTTTTGGTAACTGGACTGAGTGTTCAGTGAGCTGTGGCTCCGGGGTGCAAACTCGTAGTATTATATGCAATGCTGCAACTCAGGAGGAATGCGAGCGAGATATACCCGACGCTGAGAAGCCTTGTAACGAACGACCATGTATGATGTGGGAGACTGGGAACTGGAGTGAGGTAAGACCACTGATCTTATAAGAAGACTTAATAGAGCAAGCCGTACTTATATTTAAACATTGTTAGACAACAGGAAAAAGGGATACATTAATAAGGGACCAAACGTACGGGAGATCTGACTTTGTTTTTACTGCGTAGCTCGATCAGTTCTAAGCTGTTTTCCCTAAGGCACATGCTTGGTCTATCTCTTATTTGTTCAGTGTTACTGCAGGAGGAAACCTAAATGAAACTAATTTAATGAATTATACTAGAAAGTGTTACAAGAAGAGGCGTCCGGAGTACCCAGAGAAACCCTGCGGTGTTTGGTAGAATCAAACAGGAACCCGTCTTCTCAGATGTGACTGAAGAGAAAATGTAATCAGACAAATGCATGTTGCTGTGGCAGAGGTTACAAAGGCATGTGCACCACGCATTGTGCGCATGCACAACACCTACATTGATGCATTACACTAATACATGTATTTCGTCCTATTTTATTGTAGTGCTCCACAGCTTGTGGTTTAGGTATACAAGAGAGATCAGTGTTGTGCCCGAGTGGCTCCTGTAATCTCCAAGACAAACCCAATGCGACCAAGCCTTGCTTTATACCAGACTGCGCGGTATGGGTAACTGGAAACTGGGAAAAATGTGCTGTATCCTGTGGCGAAGGGGTGCAAACGCGTCAAGTGTATTGCAGTGACGATGATGAATCCTTATGCAATGCCCTTGAGATGCCTGAATCCACACGGGATTGTTTCGTGTCGCAATGTGGTGCGTGGATTGTCACGCGTTGGGGGCCGTGCTCAGCAAAATGTGGCCTCGGCTACACTACCCGTAATGCTTCATGCATTTATCCTGATTCCCGAAACTGCTCGAATAAACCTAACGTCGTTAAGATGTGCCAAGAAGCTCCTTGTAGTAAATGGAGTACGGGGCAATGGAGCCCCTGTTCTGTAACATGCGACCGAGGTTTCCAAAGACGTATTGTTTCATGCCACGGTGGGCAATGCCTCGCTTCGACCAAACCACTTTCGATAAAAGTGTGCTTGACGCCAAGTTGCGGTCAGTGGGTCGCTAGCAACTGGAGTGAGTGTAGTGCCAGTTGTGGTGATGGTATACAGATACGTGATATAATATGCAGTGATGTGGATCGTAAGAAGTGTACAGATAGAAAGCCTGTGGTAAAACGGTTTTGTAACAAGCAGAAATGTCCGTATTGGCTTGTTGGCGAATGGGAGAGCTGCTCAGCATCGTGTGGGAATGGGACACGAAGCAGAAATGTAACATGTGTTGGTGGTAGTTGTCCTAGTTCCACCAAACCAGCTATGTATCAACCATGCTACTCTGGCCAATGTCCAAAGTGGGTGATGCATGATTGGATACCATGTTCTCGTAGCTGCGGTAGTGGTTTCCAGATACGAATGGTCTACTGTAAAGGCAAGACTGATTCAAGCTGTGAACATTTGGTCCAACCGAACTTTTTGAGGAGATGCAATAAGCTGTCTTGTCCGCAATGGACTGTAGGGCACTGGGGTGTCTGCTCTAAGTCATGTAATGGGGGAACACAGAGTAGAAATGTGAGCTGTACCAATAGTCATGTTGGTGAATGTCCAGAACAAAGTAAACCAAGCACCAGACAGAAGTGTGGCGAGCTTCCTTGTCCACAGTGGGTTGCTGATCCATGGTCAGAATGCTCTAAATCGTGTAATGGTGGAAGACAGATTAGAGTCGTGACTTGTAACAATAGTCATGTTGGTTCGTGTTTAGAACACAGTAAGCCAGCGGGTAGTCAGAAGTGTGGTCAGGTACCATGTCCCATGTGGTCTGTTGGTCAATGGTCAAAATGCTCAGAATCTTGCGATGGTGGAATACAGACTAGGGAGGTTACCTGCCAGAATAGTCATATTGGCGAATGTTTTGAAAGGAATAAGCCTGCTACCAATCAGGAGTGTGGCCAAGTACCGTGTCCGAAATGGTCTGTTGGTCAATGGTCAAAATGTTCGAAATCCTGTGATGGTGGTACACAGACTCGAGCTGTCACATGTAACAATAGTCATGTTGGTGATTGCTTGGTAACAGATAAGCCAGATAGTACGAGAAGGTGTGGTAATATACCATGCCCAGAATGGTCAGTTGGCCAATGGTCAAAATGTTCAAAGTCTTGCGGTGGTGGAAAAAAGAACAGATCTGTAACGTGCGAGAACAGTCATGTCGGAAAATGTAACTCTGACACAAAACCAACTTCGATGGTGACATGTAGCGACGTACCATGCCCACAGTGGACAGTTGGTGAATGGTCATCATGCTCTAAGTCATGTAATGGTGGTATACAGTCCCGTTCTGTGACTTGTAACAACAGCCATGTTGGCGAGTGTCTTAGCAAGGAAAAACCACCAACGAATCAAAGTTGTGGTAAGCTACCGTGCCCACACTGGAGAGTTGGTCCATGGAGGAAATGTTCAAAATCTTGTGGTGGTGGTCTAAAAATTAGGGTCGTATTTTGCAGAAACACCCATGTTGGTGAATGTTTGGCAGCAGATAAACCACGTGGTATCAAAACATGTCGCAAAGTGGCATGTCCAGTATGGTTGATGGGCGAATGGTCGGGCTGTTCCAAGAGTTGTGGTGGTGGTATTCAGTCACGAACTATTTCATGTAGAAACAACCACATTGGTCGATGTGATGCAAGGAATAAACCAGTGGACAGGCAGAAATGTGATGAAATACCATGCCCACATTGGTCAGTGGGTAATTGGTCAAAGTGCTCTAAAACCTGTGGTGTTGGTATGCAGACTAGAGCTGTAACTTGTGAGAATGGTCATATCGGTAAATGTACAGGAGAGGAGGAAAGACCAAGTACGAACCAGAAATGTGGTGAGGTACCATGTCCAGAGTGGTCTCTCGGTGAGTGGTCAAAGTGTTCCAAATCGTGTGGTGGTGGAACTCAGACTCGAAATGTTGTATGCTTGAATAACCATGTTGGTAATTGTTCAGAAAAAGACAAACCATCTACAAACCAACAGTGTGGTGAGCTGCCATGCCCCAATTGGGTCATTGGTATGTGGAGTGAATGTTCAAAGTCGTGCGATGGTGGTTTTCAGACCAGAACTGTTTCATGTAACAATAGTCATGTTGGTTGTCCAGTTAAAGAAAGACCAACAACCAACCAAATATGTGGTGAAATACCATGTCCAAAATGGACAGTTGGTAGTTGGTCGAAATGCTCTAAATCATGTGATGGTGGGGTGAAGTACAGAACTGTTAGTTGTAAAAATAACCATGTTGGTGAATGCTTAGAGACAGAAAAACCACGAGATGCCAAGAGTTGTCGTAATGTATCATGCCCTGAATGGTATGTTGGTGAATGGTCAAAATGTTCTAAGAGTTGTGATGGTGGAATCCAATCGAGAACGGTGTTTTGTAACAATAGTCATATTGGTGAATGTTTGGCAACAAGTACACCAAATAGTACCAATCATTGTGGTAAATTACCATGCCCGAAATGGTCAGTTACCGAATGGTCAAAATGCTCTAAGTCTTGTAACAATGGAACACAAACAAGAACTGTCAGATGTAACAATAACCATGTTGGTGATTGCCTTGCAACAAATAAGCCAGACAGTAGCAAACGATGTGGTGATGTACCATGTCCCGAATGGTCTGTAGGTGAATGGTCAGTATGTTCTAAGTCCTGTAATGGTGGTATCCAGACAAGAATGGTGACATGCAGAAATATCCATGTTGGTGATTGCCTGCTAAATATCAAACCAGTGTCCAGTCAGAAATGCAGTGACGGACCATGCCCATGGTGGATTGTTGGTGCATGGTCTAAATGTTCAAAGTCTTGTAATGGTGGGGTTAAATATAGAAGAGTGAGGTGTGTGAACAATCACATTGGTGTTTGCGTGGCTGCAAAGAAACCTCGTACCATGAAACATTGTCACAAAAAACCTTGTCCCATATGGTCAGTTGGTCAATGGTCAAAATGTTCTAGGACTTGTAATGGTGGTATTCAGACACGCACTGTTATCTGTAAAAACAGACGTGTTGGTGAATGTGTGGCCAAAGACAAACCAGCCACCAACCAAAAGTGTGATGATGTACCATGTCCTAAATGGTCGGTTGCTGAATGGTCAAAATGCTCCAAGACTTGTAGTGGTGGGATTCAGACACGAATTGCGAGATGCACGAATAGTCATGTTGGTGATTGTGTGATAGCGGATAAACCAACCACCCTCCAGAAGTGTGATGAGGTGGCATGCCCTCAATGGTCAGTCAGTGAATGGTCACCATGTTCTAAATCCTGTGATGTTGGAATTCAAACGCGAAATGTCACGTGTGTGAACAGTCACGTTGGCGCATGTTTAGCCAAAGATAAACCAAATACCAACCAGAAGTGTGCTAATGTACCATGTCCAGTTTGGTCAGTTGCTGAATGGTCAAAATGTAGCAAAATTTGTGATGGTGGTATTCAGAAGCGAATTGTCACATGTAACAATAGTCATATTGGTGATTGCGTGCCAACAGATAAACCAATGGTCAGCCAGACGTGTAATGTACTACCATGCCCACACTGGTCAGTTGGTCAATGGTCAAAATGTTCAAAGTCGTGCGATGGTGGTATTCAAAAACGAACTGTGTCTTGTGAGAACAATCATGTGATTGCATGTTTACCCAACGAAAAACCACAAGAATCTCAAAGTTGCGCCGACGTACCATGTCCAGAATGGTCAATTACTGAGTGGTCACCATGCTCTAAGTCTTGTGATGGTGGCATTCAAACAAGAACTGTAAAATGTAATAATAGTCACGTTGGTGCCTGCTCGCTGATCGATAAACCAGAAGAGACCATGCAGTGTGGTGAAGTATCATGTCCTGAATGGTCAGTTGGTTTATGGTCAGAATGTTCTAGATCGTGTGACGGTGGTATACAGACCCGAACTGTTACATGTAACAATAGTCATGTTGGTGAATGCTTGCCGAATGATAAACCAGATAGTACCAATATGTGTGGTGAACTACCATGCCCTGAGTGGTCAATTACTGCGTGGTCATCATGCTCTAAGTCTTGTAATGGTGGGATTCAGACACGAACTATCACATGCCTCAATAGTCATGTTGGTGATTGTGTTTTAGCAGATAGGCCAGATGGTGCCAGGAAATGTAGTGATGTACCATGTCCATTATGGTCTGACGGTGAATGGTCTGAGTGTTCTAAATCTTGTGATGGTGGGATTCGAACACGAACTGTTGTATGTGAGAACAACCATGTTGGTAAATGTTTACCTAATGATAAACCAGTTACCAGCAAGACGTGTGCTGATGTACCATGCCCTAAATGGTCTGCCGGTCAATGGTCAAAATGCTCCAAATCGTGTGATGGTGGTACTCAAACACAAACTGTGATTTGTAAGAATGAGGATGTTGGCGCATGTATTGAGAGCGAAAAGCCAGACAGAACTAAATCGTGTGGTAAACTACCATGCCCAAAATGGTCTGCTAGTCAATGGTCAAAATGTAGCAAAACCTGTGGTGGCGGTATTCAAAAACGAACTGTGTCTTGTGAGAACAATCAAGTTGGTGACTGCTTGGTGACAGATAAGCCTGCTGGTACCCAAAAGTGTGGTGATGTACCATGCCCTCAATGGACAGTTGGTGAATGGTCAAAATGTTCTAAATCCTGTGATGGTGGTACACAGACTCGAACTGTCACGTGTAAAAATAACCATGTCGGTAAATGTCTAGAACAGGACAAGCCTAATATCAACCAAAAGTGTGGTGATGTACCATGCCCTCAATGGACAGTTGGTGAATGGTCAAAATGTTCTAAATCCTGTAATGGTGGTACACAGACTCGAACTGTCACATGTAAAAATAACCATGTTGGTAAATGTCCAGAAGACAGACCAAACATCAACAAAAAGTGTGGTGATGTACCATGTCCAGTCTGGACAGTTGGTACTTGGTCAACATGTTCTAAATCCTGTGATAGTGGTACACAGACTCGAACTGTCACGTGTAAAAATAACCATGTTGGTAAATGTCTAGAGCAGGACAAGCCTAATATCAACCAAAAGTGTGGTGATGTACCATGCCCTCAATGGACAGTTGGTGAATGGTCAAAATGTTCTAAATCCTGTGATGGTGGTACACAGACTCGAACTGTCACGTGTAAAAATAACCATGTTGGTAAATGTCTAGAACAGGACAAGCCTAATATCAACCAAACTTGTGGTGATGTACCATGCCCTCAATGGACAGTTGGTGAATGGTCAAAATGTTCTAAATCTTGTAATGGTGGTACACAGACTCGAACTGTCACATGTCAAAATAACCATGTTGGTAAATGTCCAGAAGACAGACCAAACATCAACCAAAAGTGTGGTGATGTACCATGTCCAGTCTGGACAGTTGGTACTTGGTCAACATGTTCTAAATCCTGTGATAGTGGTACACAGACTCGAACTGTCACGTGTAAAAATAACCATGTTGGTAAATGTCTAGAGCAGGACAAGCCTAATATCAACCAAAAGTGTAGTGATGTACCATGCCCTCAATGGACAGTTGGTGAATGGTCAAAATGTTCTAAATCCTGTGATGGTGGTACACAGATTCGAACTGTTGCGTGTAAAAATAACCATGTTGGTAAATGTCTAGAAGATAGTAAACCACCTTCCAGGATAACTTGTGGGGAAATATCCTGCCCAAAGTGGATTGTCGGTAATTTCAGCGAATGTTCAAAGTCGTGTGGTTCTGGGGAGCGAACTCGTACTGTGCAATGCATGGGGGGTTCTTCTCTACCATGTCAAGGTATCAAGCCTGCTACTGGCGAGGTTTGCAACGATATATCATGCCCAGTCTGGATTGTTGGGAACTGGACAAGATGTAAAGCAATCAAATCACGGAAATGCCCCAAAGGAAAACAATCTCGACTCGTTGACTGCAGCTGGGAGGACAGACGAGCGTGTAGTCGAGCAGCCAAAAAACCGGTTTCACGTCAACGTTGTGTGGTTGAGTGCGCACAATGGAAAACAGGAGAGTGGAGTGAGGTTAGTTTGGAAAAATAATTCCGCTTGTTGTAGAATACTCCTGATTTGAAGTTGTAAAGGAAAGTCAAACTAAATTTATTTCCAGTGGATAGCTCTATCAGTCCCAAGCTTTCTGAGAAGGCTTTCTCCTTAGACGTCTAGATGGGTAGTCGCTTAAATATCCAGTGTTACTACAGGAGGAAACGAAACTAAACTAATAGCAAGCGCCTTTCACCTCTGAGATCTTCGATTCTAGCTGCGGACTCATGACACTAGTCAGTGAACGCTCTACCGAAGTCATGGGTTTTCTCCGGGTATTCCGGTTTCGTCCTCAGGGATATTTACAGGTCGAGGTTGGGATTAGCCCCCAACTGACCCTTCCACTGTAGCTGTGCTTTGTGATCAAGATATGAGTTATAAGGTGGAAGCCAAAGGGGCCCTTAGAAAGCCTTCAACTTGATCAGGCTGAGCTTCAGCTTGGCTCTCAGATTGCATATCTCCTAATTGCCACTCACCTGACATCAACTGATTATTCCTGTCCTTTATTTAGTGTTCCTGCACGCAAGGAATAATGTCTCGCCGAGTTTGGTGTGAAGGTGGAGATAGGATGTGTAAGTTGCGCCAGAAACCTGTCGGACGTAAACCTTGTCGGAGGTCTTCATGTAAGGTGTGGGAGACTGGTGACTGGAATGTGGCAAGTTATCCAGAAGTGTAAACGTCGCAAAACACGCTTCTGGAAAGTACGTCACCTTGGCAATAGAGCCTCGTTTTCGTGATTTTGCCAATTACGTTTCCAAGTTCAAATATTGGGCGAACTTGGGAACCGCGCGTTGAAAAGTGACTTGAAATCGACAATAAATCTTGTTGAAGAATGAAAGTAGTGATACATCATAATTTGTGTTGTGTTGTGTTGTGTTGTGTTGTGTTGTGTTGTGTTGTGTTGTGTTGTGTTGTGTTGCTATCTACTCAATGTACTTGATTAATTTGGACCTAAATAGACCTTCCCCTCCTTACAGCCGCCTACTTTATCAAAACAGACACCTACTCTGAATAATTCTGAAAGCCCTGGGGTTTTAACTGATGTCACATATACACGAGAACGAGCCTCTATAGCCATACTTTCCGGAAGAGTGAATTGTGATGTCAATTTTTGTTTTTGCTTTATTTTGTAGTTTACACAGTTAGCAACTTTTTCGGGTGTATCTGGCGGTTGAGAAACACAGAATAATTGTTAAATATTGTCAATTCAAATACAATTATCATTGATACTGTAAAATTGACGCCATGTAGCAATATAAGCAAAACTTACCTAACTTCAGACATAATTTTCTCTTTGGCGTACTATCTAAAATCTTTTCACTTTAGCATTAGTTTACAGAAAAACACTAAAAAGACATTTTAAGTTTGTTTGCCGCTTGAAAAACGTATAAAAAAATTGAAAAATTTAATAAAATCATAACCAATACATTAGTTTTGAGCACGTGTTCGGTAGCATACAAAAGTTCTTCTCTTAACAATTATTCAAATTATCACTTGCTTCATTGTTCACTCATTCTAGTGTCCAGTTTCCTGTGGCGGAGGATTGCGAGGTAGGATTGTACATTGCGTAGACAAAGGTTCACGTGATCTGACTCAAGGTTGTGAGAGAAAGACTAAACCGGCGACAGTTCAAGCATGCGCACTGAATGAATGCCCATCATCGCCAGGTAGTTATGAAACAAATTATTTAGTTCGTATCTTCTCTATTCTTTTGTAAATTTCATTCACTTTGTCTTATATACAGTAGTGGATTCAAACTAAACTAAATTAACTTTATTATGTTCTGGTTAGCTCTATACTGCTCATGAACTGTTCTCCCTAGAGGTCCAGTAAGTGCTATCTGTTATTGTTCCAGTGTTTCCACAGGCGGAACTGGAGAACTCGGAGAAAACCTGCTGACTCGCAGTAAAATTGGTTGTAATCTTCTAATATGTGCAGTGGCGTAACCAGGGTCTAAACTGGGGTGGGGGCAAAATTTTAATGGCATTTGAAGTGTGAGCGCCAAAGGCTCGAGCATCAGTATCTAGGGGCCAGTATCCCTTAATATTACTTTAATTTATCTTTTATATTTTCTTAAAATTGTAATTCTTCATGTCAATCAAGGGAAAATAAATTAATTAAAACACGATGTCTTCGCTTTTGAAGTGGAAATTATATTGTAATAAAAAGAATGAACCTTGAACTTTGACTGCTGCTATGCGCGTAAATTCAAGTTTAAATGTGCTTTCCATCACCAGTTAGGACTATAGGAGTTAGGATTCTAGAGAGGGAACACTACAACTTTTATTAGTAAACAGAAGAGATGAGAATCATTATTCACACATCGTACCGCCGAACCCCATTTCTGCCCGGATTTCAGCTTTTCACAAGGGCAGTCCTTTTGCCCATTGGGACCAGAGTCCCCCCCCCCCCACCTTGGCCACTCCATTTCATGTGTGACTGAAAGCTGAAATATAATCGACAATTGCATATAGCAGGAATCAAACTTCAGTCACAGTGCACGAATTTAACCACTGTAGCTGTAAGTTTCCGACTTGTCGACATTCAATATGTGATTTCAATCAAAACTTTAGATGTTACTTAGGGATAAAACGTAAAATTATACACGTTTATAAATATAACAAATATATTTGTATACAAATATAAACGTTTGTTTTCATGTTCTTGGTTTTGGGTAAATCTTGTCTAAACGATGGGAACTAATCAGGTGAATGCAAACGAAATAATTTGTTTTTCGCCTTGTTTAGATGACATGAAGCCACCATCAAGAATAAATTGTCGACAGGCCATAAAAGACGGGTATTTCTGCAATCTACTTCTCAGACCATCGCTGAGTGAACTGTGTTTATACAAACAATGGAAACGAAGGTGTTGCAAGAGTTGTTTTTTGATTCACGCGCAGAGAAGGAAGAAGTAATTGTCGAGTGCGTCTTCGCAGCCCTAACACACAGCCGTCATTTTGAGGACTGCCTACGTGCAGTTTCGCTCACAGAATCACTTTGTACCGTTTACATGAGGCTGGGACAAAATCCGAGCGGGACAGTTTCGTTTCGGCCATAGTGTTGTCTCTGGTCACTTTTTACATGAGATACCAGGACGAAGTCAGCGCTGGAAGATCGCTGTTTACACAATACTAAGTTGACAGTGGCGTAGCAAGCTCGACAATTTAGTCCCGCTATGCAAATTCAAAATTATTATCATTATTTATTTCTTTAGAAATTGATTGTTTTTACAGTCAATGAACACGAAAATATTTGCATAGCGGGACTAAATCGTCGGGATGGCTATGTTACTGTAAGTTGAAAAATTCCTCAGATCGGTGCGAAGTCATCCCGCCAACTAAACAAAAAACTCGGGGTGCGAAATTTCGGTATTACAACTGGACTGCTATTAATTTCTTTTGCCCGACAAGAAGGGCGTAGCTCAATTCCATCGTTCAATATTCCCAAAATGTGGTTAAATGCCAGTCCACGGGAGGCTAGGGAGGGATAGTCTCCCGATCATAAAAGTTCCCGATCAAAAAGTTGGTTCCTATTTAACAAAACCTTTAAAATGGCAATACAAATTTTTATTTTCTCATTTGAAAGAACTTTTGAAATTATATGTTAGCTTTTTTACCGATTTTTGATATCTAGCTTAGTTCTTGAAATATTTTCACTTGAAGTAATGAGATGTCCGCCATCTTGGATATACAGTTTTGATCTCATTAACGGTAGTTTTGGTGACGTCACAACGGGGATTAACCATATAAAAGAATTTGTCGCTGACCAAATGTTGATTGGTAGATGTTTTAAAGGTTTTCAGTGATCTTGATATATATCGAATGGCAGACGGAGTGTAGTTTTTAGTGCAAAATGATTAGTGTTTGTCCAGATAAAATATTGCTTGACCCCTGTTGTGACGTGACATGCATATCTACAAAATTGAAGATGGTGGACATTTCATTTCTTTCGATCAAAATATTTGTAGAAGTAAGCAAGATATGAAAAAACGGTAAAAGAGTATTATATATAGTATTAAAAGTTCTTTCAAATGGGAAAATAAAAAAATATATTGCCATTTTTATTAATATACTACATAGTTTTTTCTGCTGCAAGCATGATTAAATTGTTCGGTTATTTCCAACATTTGCCCAACGAAATCGTATTGATTTGCCCTAAAATATGATGTTCACGAAGACTGGGAAGGGTTTCGCTCTTGTCAAACCCACTATGTCCAGGCTGGCACGAGGTCGAAGCGGGATGAATGTTTACACAATTAAAATACTTCGGACCCGTTTGAATTTCGGACGCAAAAATACACGTCCGCCAAAAAAATCACAACAACATCAATTGTGTACGTCTCATGTAAACATAGTATACAATTTCTATGTTCGTTGCGCTCTTATTTTGTCCCTGTCTCATGAAAACGGCGCTAACACAAGGCATGCACAAGCGTCTGATTGTCTCCATTTATTTGTTTGCTTACGTGGAAACCTGACATCAGAAATTATCCAGGGGCCTGTTGTTCAAAGCTGGGTTAGTTTAACCCTAGGTTAACTTAAAATTCAAAGCAAACTTCCTCACAGCTTGTCTATAAATTTGGCAATATATCTTCAGAGACCTTGTCTGGATCGATAGGAGTTTACTTCTCTGAAGTTTTGAAATAAACAGACGTGTAGAAATACACAAACTAAATCAGCAGGTTAAATTCTAACCCAGGGTTAGCGCTAACCCACCTTTGAATAACCAGCCCCAGGACAACAATTAAAGAAAATAGACTAATTAGTTGAATAGCATGTTTTATACTGTATGTTTGAAATATTGGTGACTATTTATTTTAGACTTGGATAATATTTTAGAAATAGACAAAGATTGCTTGATGGCACACATTTTTCAAAAACAAGTTTTTCAAGTGGTTAAATTAATCGTAGATTCAAAATGTAAAATAGTATTGATTTTTGGTAGATGATTTCTGTTAATCATTATCATTTGTTCAATTTAGGCTATATATGTGTGTATTGAAATTTGTAGATAAAATATTTCCAAAATAATTACGATAAATAAATGACCTCATTCATAGCTCCATTCCTTGTCATTGAAATGGAAACTTGAACTATTAAATACTGTATTTTTGAGTATACTATAATCATACAATCGATGCTGAAATAAATAAGCTGCTTGGGGCAGACACCAGGGTGCAAATCACTCCCCCCCCCTAGCCAACAAATTCCGAAAGCCCTGCCTTTTCAATGCCTCCCATCTTTGCTTGCACATGCCTCATCTTTGCTTGCACATGCTTCATGTCATATGGCGCCATCTTTGTTGATTTGAAAGTTTTGTTTTAATAGCCATTTACAGCAAATTAAAGTAGTTGAGCTCACTTAATATTTCTGGTTTGTTTTGGAAACATCTTACTGTATTATGGATGGTTTACGGTCTCTGGCTCAATACGTCAAAGAATGAAGGATATAAATTTTATAATTGCCACGTGTGTTTAGAAAATCAACCAAGACGGCGTGACTGCAAACGGGCAATTCTATAGTTGATATTTTATACTTTGAACGAAATTAATATGTAACCATATACATTTAACGGTACCCTAAAATATCATGGCCACGAGGTTTAAATGTGCCAACAACTAACTGGTGTATCTCGAATTATATTTTATTGTTTAATTTATTGCAAAAAAAGTATTAAACATATCAATTTCATGGCAAAAAAAAACCCGCTTGCATTTTAAATGTTTGTTTACAAATTTATGTGATGACGCGTTTTACGCATTCTGATTGGCTTACAGCAAAAATGTAAACAAAAGCGCTGATTGGTCGAGGACGAAATTCCCCTTGTCACCTGCGAACGGGCGTAATCTGGGTACGAGAATTAAAATTTTTGAAATTTGCATTTAAATCATGTGTTGGAATGAGGTAAAAATGCCACATAACTGACATATTAAAAATCCTGCTGAAAAATATAGTATAATATTGTGAATAAACTCAGCTTGTGAAAGGTTGGCAACGTTCTGTTTTACAACAGAAGGGTGAGAATCCAGTTTATACCATCCAGGGAGGTATGTAGCAAATTTAAACTTTAAATTAAATCTGACTTGGCCATGTTTTCATTTTGTTTTGATATAAAGTGTATAAAGGGTTTGGAAAGAACGGGATCTTTCTCAACTGTGTATAAAGCTCCTAAAACGTAATTGCCAAGCGATTGGTTTGACAATTCTGATGCGGGACGTCCCATAGTTGAGTGACCAGTCATGTTGAATAATTTGAAAATTTATAGTGTGCTTGCTAACAAATGAAATCACTTCTCTGATAAATTTGTAATTTGTTTTATTGGTATTTGAAACATGCGAAAATCATTTTATTGCTAATAGTTCATTTCAAATCGAAAGAAGGCAATCTTAAAGGTTAAACGTGTAAAATTTCACAAATGAATCGGCAAAATTCAGAGGTTGTGAAGTAGATTTTCGAAACAGACGAAATTCCCAAGCGTCCGTAGTAACCGGAGTGGTAGTCACAAAACAACATGAACTTGATGAAATACTACCAATAATGTTGTACGAGAAAATTACAGAGTTACACATAGGATATTTGGTTAAGAAGTTGGATTTATTTAGTGTATGCGATTAAATTTTGCAAGTATTTGGTTGCTCATTTGCTGAAAACGTTAATATTTGTTTACAAACATGACCAAACGATTATTCGAACTATTCGAAACAATTTGGTGAAAATTTATGCTTTCTAGCGTGAAAAATGTGCTAAATTTACGCAGATTTAAGTGATAGAATTCAAGTTAACCGTATAGACTATATTATTAAGAATTTATATAAACATTTTAGTGAAAATTAGGTCATATTTTTGGCGTTGCTATGCGCCAATGTTTTGGCATGCGAAGGGTGTCATATTACAAAGTGCTTAGCATACTGTCAGTAGTGTCGCAGACGAAATTTTAAATTGATCTTTAAATTTTGAACTTGTGTGTCAGTATCTGCTGTATATTTCGTACAAATCCAAGGATGTGTGGGTATGGCTGTGTATAAAATTGTTAAATATATGATTGTACTTAAAATTTGTAAAGACCATTCGCGGCTAAGTGTCACTTTATATTATTAACAAAATGGGACAACAGTATATATTTTTCTTTTGCAAGACCAAAGTAAATAGTCACATAACATTATCAAGATTTTAATACAAGAACACAATTGTTTTGTTTTGGTTCTTGGGTAGGGCATGTCCACATGAGCCGGGCTGGCCCATTAAACCAGGCTTAGCTCGCTTTGCTAGGCCAAGTGGTTATTTGTTTCACATGAGCCGGGCTAGCCCAGCATAATTTATAAACAAAGTTTTGTTTTAACAGCTTTATTAGGAACAATTATAACACTATAGCTAGTACCCAAACGGGAAAGTAATTATGAACAGGTTGTAAGAACCTATGCAAGGCTACCCCCCCCTGCCCCATGCACATTTACAAAATAATTTACATATTACAATTAATAAAAGTTATAGCTTACAACTCTTGAAAGTGCATTTACACACTCCATATAGATTGGAACTAAATATGTGGTTGGTCACATTGTTTTGTGGCCAAAAATTACCACAGATAGATAAGTTAGATAAAAACTTTATTTATACATGCTGACCCTGCAGTCAACCGAAGCTGATTTCCATGAGAGGCGTCTGGTATTTAATGTACTAGTGTAACAGTAATACTAAGCTGATACTATATGCCGCATTTGGTGGCCAACCCATATGGTTGCCAGATAGATCCAGAGTCTGAAATTTGCAGTACCCCCGATATCCACGGGATACCAAAAATTTGGTTTTGGATACCAAACGAATGACTTGTATCCTGACTGGATACTAAGAAAATTTCAAACATTGAGAAAATGTTCAACACCTTTGATAGGCTTCTGATAGCAGCTTTTGAATAT